TTAAAAATATTCTAACCGAATTTGTAAGGTCATACCTACATACGTCATTGGCTATTAATATTTCCTAAAAGATCTATAAATCACAATGTAAAAAAAGCGCTATAACCTCTGGGCCTCAGATTTCTATACACGTCTCATGATCATTTGTCAATCTAATAGGCAAGTAGGTGATCAGCCTCCTGTGCCTGTCACACGTCGACTTTTGGTTTCCTCACGATGTTGTCCTTCACCGTTCGAGCAAATGTTAAATGCGCACATAGAAAGAAAGTCCATTGGTGCACAGCCGGGGATCGAACCTCAAGGATGAGAGTCACACACTGAAGCCACTAGGCCAACACTACACCAAATCTAAATAAACCAAATTTATTATCAAGTCTTTTTCCCGAAGGGGTGCAGAGACCATGGATCTCTACTTGCTACGGTCCTGACATGCCTCTCTCGCTTTATCCACTTTCATGACGTACATGTCGCTTACGGGTACTTTTAACTTGTCGGTGGTACTTTTAACCTCTAGGTCCAGGTATGTACGACAAGGCCTACGAATCCGACATCACCATCTACTCTTGCGTTGTACATAGGTATACTACTAGTTAATTGCTTCTCATTCTTCCGTTCTACATGGCCAAACCACTTAAGTATCCTTTATCTTGAAAAAATTTTAAGAATTCGTAATCAATCATATGTATCAATTACAAGAGAACTTAAAAAAAATCGTTTCTCTGGATAGGTTGTAAATTAAGCTAACGTTTGAGAATTGAAATTGTTGTATTTAAAGTACATAATACACTTGGACGTTCGTCGTTCCACAACTGCGCATTAAGGCACTTTTTGTCGCGCACCACCACTATGTGGAACCAGCTGCCCACTGAAATATTTCCGAACCAATTCGACTTCGATCTTCAATAATTTCTTAGAAGGTACTTACGAGCCTCCAACCCGTTTGCTCCGTTCTATAGAAAGTGTTATTCATCAAAATGTCTTTTTCCGCTGTTTAAACAAAATCTGTAGCGTTTTGTCTCTCTATGCGAGTAGATTTTTAACTACTACAAAAAAATTAAACTATGAAAATATATTTTCCCCATAACTTAATCATTCTTGTTAGAGAAATAAAATGAGCACAGTTCAAAAGCGCATCTTTAAATAGAAAGTCATCTATCACCGCTAATGATTGTAATTATTGCAAAAAAATGGGGCAAATGCATAATTCAAAGTTGTCATAAACATAATTATCTTTTACTATTATCAAATATGACCCGTTTTTATTATGTTTTTATATTGTCGTACATTATCAAGAAACTATTGGCAATTATACTAATTATAATTTAAAAAAAACCGGTGGCACTACTAACTTTTTAAGTCTGGGTCTCAGATTCGTGTATCTGTTTCGTGATAATTTGTTTTTTCTCTAATAAGTTCAATGAGCCTTCTGTGGCTGAAATATGCCATCGACCCAATAAGTCTTAGACCTGTCGGTTTCCTCACGATGTTTTCCTTCTCCGTTCGAGCGAATGTTAAATGCGCATATAGAAACTAAGTCCATTTATGCACAGCCGGGGATCGAACCTACGACCTCAGGGATGAGAGTCGCACGCTGAAGCCACTAGGCCAACGCTGCTTTAATTTAATTATAATTCAAACCTAGGTTATTAATGAAGAACATAGATATAGATTTTTTTTGATATAACTAACACTGCTGCTGTCTACTTAGCAACAACCAATAATTAAATTCGTTTTAAAATTGCGTAGATCAGTACAAGTACAAGTAAAGAGAGTTTTTTCACTTTTTAAGAATATTTGTTTTTATTTAGTATGTATTTTAAATGAATACTTTCAATTTCATTTCTGCAAAAAATATACTTCTATACAATTTCCTTGAAAATTATCCAGCCAGGAGGAAGCCATAGCGATAATGTATTTATTTCAAGAACAAAACAAAAGTTTTCATTTGTTTAGGATTGCGAAAATTGCACGTTTTGTATATGGCTTTGTTTAAACACGTGATAATTATAAAAGAACGTTGTACTCTGAATTTATAAAGGATTGGTACTCTGAAACCTGTAGCGATAGGCTTTCGCATAAAGTTTTTATTTACGCAGCTTTCATATGGTCAGGTCATCGAATACGTTTCATCCATTCGTACAGTTATTTGCATATTATATTTTATAAATATAAAATAGTTGTGTCACAGTCTATGTAACGAACTTGTATGGTTCTATTTTTATATTTTTTATACCAGAAACCAGCTGCACACTGAATTATTTCCGATCCAATTCGACTTAGGGTCTTTCAAAATAAGAGCGTACCAATTCATAAAACCCCGGCAACGCATTTGCGAGCCGTCTGATAGTGGTAGTGTCCATGGTTGGCGATGTCTCTTAACAGATGAGCCTCCTGCCGTTACCATCTGTTCTATCAAAAAAAAACACATTCTTAAAAATGTTACATTTATAAAAAAAATAGTAGGGGAAAAGCCGGATAGTTGCCCCACTTTTCGAAAAAGCTTTATATTTTTTAAATATGAACTTGCTGAAAATTATTTAGTATGTATCTCGCAATATAGGTCTTTTATCTTCTATAAAAGCCTATTTTTGTATACATAATTAACAATGGTTTTGAATAAATACCGTTTTATTTCACCTCTCAGAAAAGGGATAGTTGCCTACTATGGCGGATAGTAGCTTAGCGTAGAAAATGCTTCGGGGGATACTTGCCTCGTGCGTTTTTATTTTGGATAGAAAGAAATTTATATCAAATACAGTAATCTTTATTATTTATTTAACAGTCTTTATAATTTACTGAGATCTTTTATTAAGTACAATTTGAAATATTAAGAAACAACAGTAATTTTTTCTCCTCTTTCTTAGCTAATACTTTACCAATTTTATTTTTGAGTTGGACACCGCTTTCATCCATGTTAAATATTTTATCTGACTTATCCAGCAAATTATTCTCAGTTAAAATAGTTGTTAAGAGTTTGAAAAAATTTGCAACTTCTGTTCTGTTGAGACCCTACGCTCTTTCAATTGATAAACCCTCAGCTTGTCTCAAAGTTATATCAGGATTTCTTTCAAGAAAGCTTTTTAGCCATCGAGGTCCAGCCATTTTACTCTCATTAATAAAGTTGTGCTTTAACCAACTTTGTCTCAATTTTTCGAAGGCAAGTGCTAAGCTATCTTCTGTCCAGTTGATGTTGATGAGGCTTTTGCTTATCTATAATAAATATATATAACTGTGAAGTAGATATTTATTTAATTTACAACAAGTTAGAGACAAAGTAAATTCGAATAAACATCAAAAAAACAGCAAAAAAATAAAATCCGTCTTTGCTTGTTAAGAAATTTTTAGTCACTCTAGGGGCAACTATCCGCGACAGTAAGTAGGGCAACTATCCTTTTTGATGCGGATACTTGCCTTTTTTATTTGCGAAATAAATAAATATTATTTAGCAATAAAACATGATAAACAGTGTAATTTAAACTCTAATGCATGCAAAAGAAACAAAAAAGTTGACTGAAACCACGATCAGTAATAAAAATATTCAATAGAAATTACTTACCAATATAATTATAACCCCCGTCAAAGTTTCGCCGCGGAAGATTTTTGCTCACACGGACAAAACACTTGGGCCTATTCCGATGGCTTACGTGGCATTTAGGCCTGAGGGGCAGTCACTACTTATTGTAGTAAAGCGCCAATACAACTTATAATCCTAACATAGTTTTTTAAACACCGGGGCATGTATCCGTCCGAGGCAACTATCCGGCTTTTACCCTATGTTGCCATTTATTTTTAATTTTTTGGACAAAAGTTATAAGTTTTATATCCCCATTAAAATTGAAATTAGTACAGTAACATTGTTTACAAGGCAAAACATAGTTTCCCGGATCAGTTGGTCTACATAATTAGTGTAAATTATTAAAAATTACTAAACTCTTTACTAAATGCGATAAAGTTAACCAACCTAGTTTTTAGAAATCACAATGCCATAACTCGAATTCAATTAAACAGAAACGAAACGTGCAAAATTCAGCTTTAACAACAATGAAAAAAGGTGATTATGAAGAAATGACATTCGTATTTTTAAACAATTAGTAGACAATAGCCAAGTTCTGATAACAAAGATATATCGGATTTCGGATTCACATTTGAAATAGACATGCACGTTACAAAAGATCATCCATAAGAACATGTTTAATTCCTGGTAAACGACATATACTTATTTCGATGGAGTGTGGGGCTTTACATACATTATATTTCTTCTAACCACTTTTTTTTTTTTTTTTTTTTTTTTTTTTTTTTTTTTTTTTTTTTTTTAAAAAAAAAAAAAAAAAAAAAACCCATAATAAAAACCCCCCTTTTTTTTTTTTTTTTTTTTTTTTTTATTTTTTTTTTTTTAAAATTTTCCTCCCAAAACACCCTTTTTTTTTTTTTTTTTTTTTTAATTTAAAAAAAATTTTTTTTAATTTAAATTTTTTTTTTTTATTTTTTTTTTAATTTTAATCTCCCTTTTTTTTTTTTTTTTTAAAAATTAAAAATTTTTAAAATTTTTTTTTTTTTCTTTTTTTTTTTTTAGCCCTCCATAAAAAAAAAAAAACTAAAATTAATTTATATATATTAAGATTACATTACATAATTTTTTCTATTTATTAAATTTTAATTATTATTACTATGAAGAAAATTGTAAATACTTCATTTGTTATTATTATGTTTAGGTTTTATCAAAGTAAATTACATACATTTCGATATTTTTATTATACTTAAAAATCTAACTTAGAAACCTAAGGCCCAGTCCTAAAAAGGTTGTAGCGCCACTAGTTTAGTTCTTAGATTTCTATTTCAATATAAAAAGATCGTGTTATTACAATTATAACTTATTTGCTAACATACATAGTAATCTTTTAGGTTATAATACACACACCCAAAACGTATCTCTGTCCTTCACACACTAATATGTAGCTTTTTACAGATTTGGGACACATGACTCGCTAAAAACAAACAAAATGGTGGATACACAGCACTTCTGTCTGCGCTGGAACAATTACCAGAGCAGCATCACCAGCGCCTTCGAGAATCTTCGTGATGACGAGGACTTTGTTGACGTCACATTGGCCTGTGACGGAAAGAGTTTAAAGGCGCATAGGGTGGTCTTATCGGCATGTAGCCCCTACTTTAGAGAACTATTAAAAGTAAGTAACACCTATATTAAGTTTTATTGTCATATCAATGTACCTACACGTCTGTTTCTAACTTGACCTTAGGTACTAAACTGATGAAGAAATAAAAAAAAACAAATACATTAATTTATCCTAAAGATAAAATTTTATTAATTTTATAAATAACTGGTTTAAAAGTAAAAAATATATAAAGGTTTGTCAGGTGTGGGGTTCGAACCCACGCTCCCTCTCGGGAACCAGAGCTTAAATCTGGCGCCTTAGACCACTCGGCCAACCTGACTTGTTTGCCCCGACTGAAATACTGATTCAAGTATAAAATGGTACATATTTTACTATGCCTATTTAACTTGTATTGTGTTTTGTAAGAGGAATTAAACTAAGTTCATTATACTTCGAAAAATAATGGTCCTGATTGAGGGATACTAAGAAATAATTATTCAAAATAGATTAAAAAGACTTACAAATGACGAAATATAAAAAAAGAAATATTTTTGATAAATGGGACAGCTTAGCCAAGCAGAGTTTTTTTTTTTGGAGTTAAATAATAAACTGTACCATTTTTTCATGTTGACGCACACGCGAGCCTGAACTTTGTGGATTTATTCGACTCTTGTTACATATTAAACCCAAAATAGAAATTCGAATGATATTACCATGATGAAATCGTGGGCTAGTGCAATAAATCGTTAATAAATTTTGCATCTTCTCTTCATAATTCCTTTACTTCTAGTCGACACCGTGCAAGCATCCAGTGATAGTTCTTCAAGATGTTGCCTTCACCGATCTACACGCTCTGGTGGAGTTCATATACCACGGTGAGGTCAACGTGCATCAGAGGAGCCTCTCCTCTTTTCTGAAGACGGCGGAGGTCCTTCGCGTCTCCGGACTCACACAGAATGACGATACTAAAGGGGTAAGAAACAAAATCTTGATTATCAAGATAATCAAGGGCGGATTCAAATGTTCATGGGGGTCAAGATTTTGGAGCAAATTTCTAATTGATATTGTTACAAATAGTTTTTCTTTGGTACAAATCGATTAAAATCGGTAATTTTCTAGTATATTGTAAATAACGCCAATGCGAACATTATCTCCGCCCTAGTTACAGCGGTATGTTATAGAACTGAATACATAACATTCAATTTAGAGTGGTTCTTCAGAAGTTATACATAAGAGAAATCATTTTTATTCAGATTAATTTCCGGTTAAAATAAAACTATCAATATAAGTATTTAAACCGGAACATTTAGTGTCTAGACTATTTAAATATTTAAGAATGTATAGAATCCAGCGGCCACAGTTTGAATTATAACTAAATTATTTTTTAATTGAACAGCTAAGCAAATAAATTTCACCTTCGGCAAAGTTATTGAACATGCCATTCTAACATTTAGTTCGCTTAATAATTGTGAAATACATTAGATATTCTATTTCCTTACTTAAAAACGACTCACAGAACTCTAAAACCTATTTAGAATTGAGATTTTATTTGTCTAAAATATACATGAACTTTACGCATACGTACAATCTATATATATTTTTTACTTTAAGACAATTATTATATATAAACGCAAATGTATAGCATTATATGGACTTATAATGGTCTGAATTAAAGGATTTTTATTTTTTATTAATTACGTAACTGGCCGAATTACAGTAATTGTGCTCAGCGAAAGACTGTGGTCTATTGTCAATTTCTCGACGTGAGACCTCAAAAATAGAGTTAAGAGCTTAAAAAATCCTATGGAATCCTTTTGATTTCGGATGTCACTAATGTTTGTATATAACTTATAATATATGGTTATAACAAGCCCCATTGTTACAGTCGCTGGTACAAAGCATCGCCCGCGCAACCGCCGAGTCGTCTCCGCACGTATCTCCGCATCCCGCGCATACCCCTCACACCCCGCACACCCCTCACACTCCACACACACCAAGCTACTCGGAGAAGCTGGAAGAGGCACTTCTACTGCCTCAACCCCTCAACCGCAGGATCCCCATGCCCCCGCGTCGAATGTCACGCTCGGCTGACAATTCCCCGGACGTAATAAAGCGCGCACGCCACGACAACAACAATGACCAATCACAAGTACATGATTTCTCGACAAAGAACAACTCACTGCTGAACAATCGTCACGAGCCTGGTAATGGGAATGGGATCTCGAATTCCAGCTCGTCACCATCCCCCAAACTGATGGATGACGTGAAGAACGAGCCGTTGGATATGATCTGCCAGTCGAACGCGGATATCGATCGCAGTGCTGATGATACTCCGCCTCATTCGCATCATAGACACATGGTGAGTTTTATTGGATTCTTTTTAATGAGCTATTCTAGTGGTGGTGGGACTGTGAGGACTGGAGTCTCTCGTTTGGTGTAGATTTCCCTTACTTTTGCTCTTCTATTAAGGATCAAAAGTCAGTTTCAAGAGTTCTCTTTTTGTCATCATCTTCTGTAGGTTAACTTCTTTTGCGGCGTAAAAAAATCAGTGGTGCTACAAACTTTTAAGGTCCGGGCCTCAGATGTTCCTGTATCTGTTTCATTTGGCAATCTAATAGGCAAGCAGGTGATGAGCCTCCTGTGCCTGACACACGCCAACTTTTTGGGTCTAAAGCAAGCCGGTTTCCTCACGATGTTTTCCTTCACCGCAAATGTTAAATGCGCACATAGAAAGAAAGTCCATTGGTACACAGCCGGGGATCGAACTTACCCTGGTGAAGCGAACCTGAAGCCACTACGCCAACACGTCTGGTATTAAAACTTGTATAAACGTATTGAATTTTACAGAATACAAAAAGTTTTTATTACAGGAGCGTAGATTAGAATTTTAAGTCCACTGATCAATGTTTCATTTTTAATCCTGGAAAACACAGATAAAAATATAAGGTGAAAATTGCTACGTCAATGAGAGAAAAAGTCTACTTCAAAATTAGTGCCGGCTCACAGCCCTTCACAGAATGAAACTTCAATTTTAACTACAAAAAGTTGTTTCGAAAACGGCACAATCGCTAGCCGCTAATTAAAAAAACCTTATTAACAAACACTCGGAGCTTGTTAAATTATTATTGACTATGAAATTAATTATTTATTGAATCATCGATAACGAACCATCTTATTATAGAAACACTTTACCTGCTTTGATCAATAATTGGAATTTGGAGGGTTCTAACTACACTTATTCTTCAAATTATGAATTTCTTTTTTCTATAAAACGTAAAACAGAAACTTAGAAGCATTATAAAGCGACGTCATTTGCGTACAGAAAAATCTAGAAATCATGAGGCGTAATTAAAAGACAGACTCCGGGAAACTGTTGTGTACTATTATTGGCTACCGAAGGTACTTAGCCCTACCTCCAATTTGAAGAAAGCTTTTATTTTTTTGGGTAATCGATTTTGTTCTTATGCTGTCCGTTTGGAAATGTTCAGGTTCATCGACTCCGATTCTTGAACTCGGTATGGTAGGCGATAGTATTATTTACATATTTAAAAAATCACTAAACAACATATAATTTATATATGTAGGTAACTAGATACATTTCTACCAGTTCTCAAATCAAAATCGACGATACGACAAGAATAAACAGAATAGAAAAGTATATTCAACACATACGTAACTATTATTTTGTACGGGCAAAGTTGCTATTTCTATTATTTAGAACATTAGAAAAATTCTTCTTACTAATTGAAGACAATCGTGTCGTATAACTAAATGATACGAACTCGAGACAGCATTGTATTGCAATACGAGTTAAGAATTCGAGTAGACCGTTTCCGGGTATAATCTCAATAGAACAGGAAGTCATTTAGCTATTTAGGGGGTACTGATTGGCTAACTAATTCATTGATCCGTGGGATTAATCTACGAACGCTTCATATATGTCAAATATTTGTGAAGAATAATTGTGTACCAATTTGAGTGTCCAAATATTTTAACGTATACAGAATTCTACTAACATCACCTAGATTGGGATTTTTTTAACTTGATTTTAAAGATTTGTTTTGTATATACACTTTCAACGCCTACGTTGCATCAATGTAAATATCATAACGATTTTATAAGAACTTTTAGTAAACTAAATTTCCTACACCAAATATCTCATAGCTTTTAGAAGTTTCTTTGTGTACGTTAAAACATAGAATTAGAAGAATTAATTACTATCAATTTGTGTAGAGATTAATATCTGTATGTTGTGATCAACAGATACGGTTAAATAAATATTGAGTTACTACATAGATTAAGAACTATCAAAGTAGCTTGATGTAACGCTTAATTGTCGTCCTCAGGGAGGGCCGCCATCCCGCGCGAGCTCAGCCGATGCCGACGACCGTACGCCACCGCCACAAATGCCACCCTCGCCTTTTATTTCGCCAGCTGAAGCCAAGCTCTTTCCATCATCGCAACACCACAGTTTCAACTACTCCATGTTGACTGATTCATCGCTGACAGGTATTATATAACGTAGTTCTTTCGACCTTTTAGGTCTGGGCCTCATGTATCTGTTTCGTGATCATTTGTTTTTTCTTAAAATTCAAGTAGGTTATCAGCCTGTGCCTGACAAACGCCGTCGACTTTTCGGACTCTATATCATGCCGGTTTCCTCACGATGTTTTCCTTCACCATACGAGTGTTAAATGCGCAATTAGACAGACAGCCCAGTGGTGCACAGCCGTGGTTAAAATCTACGACCTCAGGGAGTCGCACACTGAAGCTAACACTACTTTTTCAAGAAATGCTCAAGAATCAAGAAATACTATTCAAAAACAAATCTAGTTGGACGTGTATTCGACGAGAAAATCTCTGTTTTTAAATAAAAATACACATTTTAGAGGGAAAGGTTTTGAGGTTATGCAATGATTCGCAGGTCTGCCGAGTCCCCTGCCTCCGGACGGCTTACCGGGAACATCACAAGGTGAGTCGGCTTGTCTAGCAACAAGTTTATTTTATGCATTACTTACATATATTGAACCAAACGATATTTTTAATGCACTGTCTGTCGTATGCCACCATCACCGCTTCCTCTCTGCTCTGTCATTATTAGGTTTTATATATCATTATAGGATTTATATTTTAAATTGTATGAGGCAATTATCACGTGACATATTCTATAGTATATGTGTATTAATATATCTCCTCCTAACCTGTATATGTCTTCATTTTGTGCTCTGTGTACTGAATATTAATGTTAGCTTATTGTGTTATGGTTCGATGGACATTCGCGGGCACACAGTTATCATTTGTCGGAGTTGACAGATCTGTTAAATAAGCATTGATCATTGAACCAAAACGCAACGTGCCGTGCATGTTAATGTATTGTAACTCTAGTTTAATGTTTACTTTAAAAACGATTGCTAGCTTGTTTATAGATGCGTGAAAGTATTAGGAAGATCCCTCCTCCAACCGATCCCTCCGTAATCCCCGGTTGATTTCTTTTAAACCTCTTTTGATTTGTATTATTTATTTTCTTTTCAAAATCATTAAAATATGCACTTAACATTGTACTCAATTGGCTAAAAAAGAAACAACGTGTCTAAGAAGAGAAGAAGAAAATTCTATTGACAATCGGCGCGGTCACGAATCTAGGCAAATTTCTGTAACTAAATTACACAAACGCTCCCATGAATCATTCGTGTTTCTTAAAACAGTTTCATATTACTCTCAATCATGATTGTCTTGGGAAATAACGTTGGGGCACACAAGATAAGACAATGGAATTTTAGCAATGGTTTTGTGGTATCAGTTTATATTAAAAGTCATTTCATTGAAGAAATACTAACGCTTTTGTTCGAGAAATCCGAAACCGCACTCGGTGAGAGTCCCGCCGCGGCCGTTTGTTTTCAAAACAGCCGATCATCAATCGTGGCTGAGCTTATCTAAGCCGTAGGTCGAATTAGAGAGACAACCGTATGCGTTACTAATCCGCTTGGCTACCGGCTCGTTCGCGTCGGATGGCCGTCATCAAACCGGGGGGTGGCGGTGCTTGTAAAATCGAGAGGCTACGATAGTGAGTGCATTAAAAGTGCGTTCGGAAGCTTCCATGGGGCTAACTGCTTGTGTTGTGACCAGGTGGCGCCCGCACCCCAGGAAGAGTACCGATGCGAGCCCTGTAACAAGAGCCTCTCTTCGCTGACGCGGCTCAAACGACATATACAAAACGTACACATGCGGCCCTCCAGGGAGCCCGTCTGTAACATTTGCCGACGCGTGTACTCCAGCCTCAATAGCTTGAGAAACCACAAGTCGATCTACCACCGCAAGCAGCAGCCGCCCTCGGGCCAGGGCTTCTACCCGGTCAACTGACGCCAGAAACCATTGCCATACCGTTGCCATGAGGAAACAGAGCTGCCATCCTAACCACCTAAAACGCCATAGTCTTGCCCGTAGACCTTGTTAAGTTTAAAGAAATTATGTAACGCGATATGTTCCTAACATGTACATAGCATAGTTTTACGTGTATTTGCATGCGCATTGACCTATATAATGTATGTATAGTATAAGTGACACGTACGCCGTGGGGCCTCGCCTTGGAACCAATTGGGACACCTATGATCGGTACACGCATAACTACCAACCTTTAAGCGCATTAGTCAATTTAGTCGTTTCACGTAAAATTGCCTCTACAACAGGTTCGAATTCTCGGGCGGCACACGATCTGTGCCAATTGGTTCCTTTGGAATGGGACCTGTTGCGAGCGGTGGTGTTGGTGTGACAGTTGTGTTGGTTGACTAATGCGCTAATGTTGGTCGTTATGTGTGGCGCAGTGGGCCCGCTGGGCGCCGGGCACCGCTGCGAGGTGTGCGGCAAGCTGCTCTCCACGCGCCTCACCCTCAAGCGCCACACGGAGCAGCAGCACCTGCAGCCGCTCCACTCGGCGCGCTGCTCGCTGTGCCACAAGGTCTTCCGCACGCTCAACTCGCTCAACAACCACAAGAGCATCTACCACCGCCGTCAGAGGGCGCCCGCTGGGCCTCTGCCGCCGCCGCAGCCGCAGAACCTTTCCACCGCACCCGACTCCAAGATGCACCCCAGCCAACACCATCACACCGTCGACTTCTACAAGTTCAAAGATCAGTTTAACGTCTAATTCCTTATTTTTCACTTGTCTTTTTTTTTGTGGAGTTTATCCTTCTCTATCTCTTTTAACTTGTAGACGAGTTGTGAGTGCTGCCGGGACGGTGACTTTTTGACGCTACATTCGACATTCCAATCGAAGTAAGAAAGGGCGACGTTTCGGTCTAAATTTTGTACACGCCCGCAAAGTGCAATACCGCGACATAGTACGATTCCTGAATTTTTACACTATGTTAAATGTGTGACAATAAGGCGAAGAGAAAATTAATATTTTGAAAGAAAAGAGGAAAATCTTGGTGCTGTAAATTTATATATTAGGCTTAAATTTATAAAAAAATTGAACAGTGTTCGTTGTAAGTAACAAAAGAGGCATATTGTTTTACGTTGTGTTCATTTTTCGGCGATTTGCAATTTTATTTATTCTGTATTTTACCTTCTTGATCTCACGCTTAGATATTTATACGAGATTACTAAAAAATTCTATTTTAAAAGAAAGTAAATTAAATTATTTACGCTGATGTATAATTGGCTAATGAGGCTTTTTGATTTTTTTTAATTTTTAATATTATTTAGGTGATTTTGTTTTGACTGTAAGACTGCTTTCAGGAAATACATATAGCACCAATAGACAACAAACATAGCGCACTGTCACAGATTACGACTGGCAATAGACCACACATATTCCGAAATAGTGAGACAAACCACAGACCCGATACACACATACATACAACTTACTTTATACTCGACAGTCGACTTATATAATACTGTTACTCTAGTCGACTTCTTCACACAAATTCGCGATTATCCGAGGCATACACAATCGCATCGTGCCATTTACCTAAAGGAATCAAAATGGCTATATTATATTTTTATTTAGATTAAGTCTTTCATCACTACTGTGTTCGTTTCGTCGATTTTACTATTTTTATAATCGGCTTCTTTTAAGTTTACACAATTTTTATAACTCTTTATTTGTTATTTTTAAAAGTGATTTCAAATTTATTAAACGTAAAATAGGTAATAATTGTAAAATCTTAGTGATTCTCAGTGTTAAATGTTCCTAAAATTGAACAGTGTGAAATTTTTCATTAATCATATTCAAAGGAATCCTGCTTGCCATACAATAGTACCTAATGATAATACTTGATTCTGTTATTGAAAAGATTAGAATTACTACAAGTCTAGATTCAGAACAAACACTATTTATCAGTTCTGTACAATATTATACTTTACCTTCAAAAAGCCAAGGGGCGAATCTTGGATATAATAAGATCTTTGAATTCAATTTAGGGACGAAAAACCTCACAGTTAAAATATGTGAAGTCACCAACTTTTAATTGATTTTCTGAAATTTATAAAATTTGTGTTATAATTTATTTTTGTATTCGACTGTTTCTATTTTAAGAGACCCGTGAACTCCTTCGGTTGTAGTTTTCTGAATCTAGACTCAATCACTCACATTCATGTGGACTTTCTAGTTTAATGCATCACCGTTTCGAGTCAATAGAGGTCGCTAAACCATTTTTTTCTAGCCGTAAGAAATCTATAAGTAAGTAACACATAATTTATTGTATTAATATACATATTAAGTAATTATTAGTGCCTGCTTTACATATTGTTTTTTATTATTCGAAAAAAGACATATTTTGCGTACTTCTAATGTTAGGAGTTGTGTTAGAAACACATTACCTAGGAGGTAACTTTTGCTATAAAACATGTATGAGAGGCTTCCTACATATTTTAATACTATATGTTATAAGATTATGTTGTTATTACTAGATGCATAAACGCTTAGCCACTACAATTTGTTTAGTTGTTCGTAAGCTTTATCGTAATGTTTTTAACGAATTGGAAGACTAGAGATTTGGTGCTAAATTCGAATGACGTTCGTATTGAAAAAAAAAGGTGAAATTGTTAAGAAATCTTTGACGGAGGCAAAATTTTAAAAATTTCGCGACATTCCGAATGGAAATGGTTAAGTTTTTATTTGCACAATGCAAACTTTTTGAACATAACGTAGTACTTGTTGTTTTTTTGTCTAGTAATTTTAGTGATAGGTTCTATTGTTAATTTGGGTTTGGGAATTAAGTTAGTTGACTATAGATATAAGAACATTTTATCTGAATTAATAGCGATAATAGTATGTTCTATATGTTTAATGACTACAGGGATGTGCTGCAAGTGCGCAGTACGGTCTTCATAGAGTATAGAGTGTACTCTGTGGTATTATTTGGCTATCGGCGAGCACTAGATTAAAAAATTATTTTCAAAAATCGAAATTGCCAAAATTATTAAGCGCTATAGACTGATTAGACTAAGTACGCAATTGTACACTATTAGGCGTATTTCTAGAAATGTACAATTATTTATTAAAATTTTATATAAAGTCTGAAGCGTTACTCGTTTCGGTATGTTATTCAAAATTTGTGATTCGACGATCTTTTTTAAATTCTTTTGTTCCTAGTTGCAATGATTTTTGGATCTCAGAAGATCTTGCAGCCCTACCGCAAAAATAAGTTGCTGGAATGTGAGTTTTTTAAATACTTGATTTTGTAATATTTATATACTATAAAGATTTATTTACTTATGTATGACTAATTGTGTAGATTCTAGGAAAATAATTCGTGGAGAATCCGTATATTTAAACCATTTTTAGAATCGATACAAAAGAGAGGCTTCTGAAAGACTTGCACATGAGGCAAAAACAGCACTTATTCAGTGCATATAATTCTTATTATATTGCGTCAGAGGCTAACTAGAGAGAGATACTTGTTGATGTTCTGTGTGAGAATCAAGTAATGAAGTTCGGCGGTAGGGCTGCATCGGAGTATGTGTTTTACTGGGCGAACTACAGCGTGTTCTAAGACGCAGAACACATCCCTGTCAAAACTGCATTAGTTAGGAATTTTAGCAAGTTTAAGACTGTTTCTGTGACCTGTTTAAGTTTTTATCTTTCTATCATGTTAAGGTATATTTTTTTCGAGTCACGCTCGCGTGCAGACCTTAAACGATGTGTTCTTTATACTTCTTGTTGGCGTTTTTACTTATTTTATAAGGAATCTAAATTAATTTATTGGTTGTTGTATTAAAATTTTATTTTCTTTCATAAATTATTATTCTAATTCTTTAAATCTAGATATTTTTGTTAATTGGCATCAGTGAAATGCAGTCCATTAGATGTTAATGTAGAAATTGTGCCAAAAATTGTTTTTAATTTGTCTTCCAGTAACCCGAAGGTTAAGATTGGCTGAAATTTTAGGATAATTGAAAACGCCTAGTTTCAATAATGGGCTGCACACCACAACACGTAGGCATAACAATATCAACTATATGTATAAATAGAATTTTTTTCTCTTCTTTAATTTTAAATTTTTAAACCTTAAAACTACTCATAAAGTGTAATTGTAATCGTTAAACCGAACTTCATAAATCCTAATATTGATGATAATGGCGTTTTTAATAAAACATATACGAAAAATTCCCGCTCGTTTCATTGTCTCCCTCGACACCGGCGCCCCGCTTCTTATTCTGTCCGAGTGCCGTAGACTAGCACTGCTTGCTCCCGCGCAGACCCTTGCATGTCCTAACACCATCGGCCACAGCTTAGCCATCATTTCGTTTCCTTTTATTTAATTTATTTTATTCATGGTTTACCACTTTGTTTCACTTTATGTTCGATTGAGTTGAGAGCAATCTAGGCGATATTCTTTTATTTATCGCGAGCGGGGACAACCCCATATTTTTTTGTTTTTCGATTTGTTTTCAGGTAAAAAATTATTCTCCTGTATACAATGCACAAAGGTGCTGTGCTCAAAGGCGTCTTTGAAACGGCATATCGCAGACAAACACGCAGAGAGGCAGGAGGAGTATAGATGCACGATATGCGAGCGGGTTTACTGCTCTCGCAACTCCTTGATGACGCATATTTATACCTACCACAAGTCCCGAGCGGGGGAAGACCCCAGGGGGTTTTTTTAGTGACTACTCGGACGGTGGCGCAGCTTGCGGCAGAATTCATCTAGTAAAGAGAACCAGGCCAACCAGCCGACAGCTATACATTGCAACACTACAAAAGGTTAGACCATGTTTCTAGACAACAAATACGATAAACGCTAATATCATTAATAATAGATGAGATAGGACGGTTTTTTCTTATTTCGTTCCTTTATTTTCTGTTTATTTTTTATTATTTTTTGTATGTTAAGCCCCAAGGCCCCTCTCCCATCGGGTTTCGCAGATTTGACGTTGTTGTGTTGCTTGGAGCATGCTTCTATCATTTTGTTATAACGTGTTACTGTGTCATTGTGGTTGAGAGAATTTTCTCAATTTTTTCAATAAAACCTCGTGATTTCTGTGTAGTTAGTCAATGTGTACAGTGCATATTAGTATCATTATTTCTATTGTATATGCTATCTATATACGAAGCTTCAAAGGAAAATAATGTAAAGGAATGTTTAAGATTTATGCAAAATTTTACAGACAGCGTCCATAACGCGAGGGCTTCAAGGCGAAATCTCATCGAAAGTATCCTAACGTTGCATCTCGCAAATACTAATACCAAATCCACTTCATTTATTTCGGTGGTTCCACGAAAATGTTCAAATTGATTGGTATTTATACATTTCTTATGGATTATCACGATATTTGGTGAGTGATTTAGAAGAAGCAAATATTTTCGTGATATCACTCAAAGAAATGGTATATGCCGATTCCTCAAAAGCTCCCTAAACCATAAATTGATGAAAATATAACATACGAGAATTCTGACAATTTCAGCTGTTCCGCCCCTCCGAATGCCCCCGCCGACCGCCGGCGGCATCAATGAGCCGCAGGAGTGTCCCTACTGCCGCAGGACATTCTCTTGCTACTACTCCCTCAAGCGCCACTTCCAGGACAAGCATGAGCAGTCCGACACGCTCTACGTGTGTGAGTTCTGCCACAGACGGTATCGCACCAAGAACTCGCTCACCACCCATAAGAGCCTGCAGCACCGGGGTTCCAGCGGCATGCTGAAGCGCCTGCTGAAGACGTCGGCGCTGCACAGCGCGCTGGCCCCTGCGCCGCACCACCTGTTCGACCTGGCCGCCGCCGACCACGCGTCGCAGCTGCCCGGCCTCCAATGACCGCAAACGATTGCTTGAATCGGTCGGCCCTCGGACGGGCACTTCTAACTTGGAAAGGGAAAGCATATGTGCAATACGGACAATGCCAAAACGCAGAACTCTGCCGCATTTTTAATTAATTGTGTATTATAAGCGTAGTAAAATATTGACGTTAGTTTTAAAAATGAACAGTATTGTTGCGGCGCGCGCGTCGCGTCGAAGATTGGACTTCTTGTTCTAGCAGTGTTCAAAGTGACAATGTAATTCAGAGCAATACTAAAGTATTAATGTTTTCTAGTACTGCCAAAATAATGCCAACTATATTCTAAAGAGAATAAAACATTTTGTAAGATCAATTTTCGATTTAAATGTCTAGTGTCAAATTAGATTCGGTAACTGTACAAAACGGAACGTACAAATTTTTAACAGTAAATTAAAGCAAAGAAAATATTTTTTAAAGAGACTTTTTCGGATCGCCAAATCTAAATTTAAATACAAATTATTTAGAAGTTAATAACCAAAATTTTAGGTAAAAAAAAGTAAAAAAAAAAATGTTGATGTTAATAAAATTAAAGACTTCTAGAAATCTTCGAAAGTACAAAAATGTTGACGTCTATTAGAACAATATTTGTATTCTATTTTGGCTTCAATATCGAGTAATGATCAAAGTAGTCGTGCCTTCGTTCGTCTTCATGCCATTAAAACGTTGGGACGATATTCCGAACTGTCATGGGATGCGCGAAGTGTTCACGAACGAAACGCTGACGACGACGAGAGAAGGCTTCGGGCCTTCCGGGTACAGGGAACGAGGGGCGCAGGCCTCACGAAGCGGGTTCGATTGCATCTGTTCGACGGTCGTATACGTTATACACATGATTAATTCATGGAACAAAATGGACGTTTCTTCTGTATAAATCTTAGGTGATAGGTATTCATTAACATAATTATATATAATACGTATCCATTTTGGGATTTCTCTCTATGAGGATAGCCGTTTCTTATTTAAATGTCGACCAACGTAGAGAACGTCTCGTTTATGAAAATTTATTAGATTATTATTAACATTAATTATTACAATTAAATTCTCAAAATTAAAATCTTAGTGTCAACCATGAGATGGCTGCGGATTGTAAAAAATATTTTATTTACTTATATTATAGGAAATTGCTTGAATACGCGTTCGTCTGAACACAGGCCGATTACATATCTAATCAGGGTTTAACTGACGAATTCACTTTAAAGTCTTTTAAAAGAGATCAAATGTTCAACATATCACAATTAACAAATATCTATAGAGTAAACAGAGCAGGTTTTAAAGTATTTAAACAGTGATATTTCACAAAGCCAAAGAAAAATTTAATGGGGAGTTTTGCCAACTTGCATTTATTTCTGTTAGAATAAAAACATTCTGAAAAGACGAAATTTTGTGCCATATCTCGAAATTGGAAACAAAAATGAACAAAATCATATCAATCGAAGTGAATGTTTCAAAAACTATTCACATATTAAATGCAAACTTAATTTAGTCTTAATAAACTCAGTTAAATTTCTGCATTTATTGAATTTTTAATTTCGCCGCGTTTAGTTATCGGAATATTTTTAAGAGTTTCTTTATATTCTTTTTCGGAATGTGTTTGTGATATAAATTTATTTGGTTTAGATAATTTAAGAAATCATCTTAATAGATATACTGAAGGGCTTAAGCTTTTATGAAAAGTTTAGTTTATTTTTGTAATGGTGTCCCCATTCGTACCTCCATTTTTGTAATACCTCAGATATTTTGTTTTTTATTAATCTTTATTTCATGTTAACTGGTTAGATTCCGACAGATGAATGAAAAAGCAGTTCGGAAGAGAATCATCATAGCATCATTTAGAGAGCTTAGTGAAGCAAGCGGGTAGTTTGAATTGTAAATATGTTCTAAGTTAGGTCGTAAAGAATCGTGGCATCGGGAAACGCCTCGTGATATTAACTAAATAGATTTAGATGAAATCATTATTGGAAAGGATTTTTATATATTCTACTAATCGATTTATTGATAGTGACGTAGTCTTGCGTTTAGTGTTTGAGTTGATTGTTTTCGCTGTGCAATTACTTCTGGAATATTCGGCTCATTGAAAGCTTGTTGTTGAACGCTTTGTTTGCCTTTTCGCCCACCATTTTCGTTTGTGGTTCGGAATTTTTTTCTAAATTTTTGATCTCAGTAGGACAGCTGCGGATTACATCAAAATGGAGTCAGCCGTTGGTGATTGTTAAGAGTTAGGTAAATCGTGTTAAGTTTTGGTTATGTGTCGGCAAAAGAGAGCAGCTCAAAATTCAATCAAACGAAACAAAAATACAGCGAAACGTAACAAAGGTTATTTGCAATTTATACCAAAACCGTGCATTTTTACATAGTAAGAACATAAGTGAGAGTAATAAATTTAACTCAAGTAATATTAATTTTGCTTTTTCGCCACTTTAATTTATATTTTAAGTTAAAATGAAATACGTTTAATGAACAGACTGTGTTACTAATATAGGTAATGCACAATATCTGCAACGGAATGCCTTCAGACAGTACAACTATACCAATAGCCTAAGTAAATGACATATTATATACTTTATTGTGACGGCACAGTGACGGCGGCTGTCAGTCAGCAACAGAAACATCACAACAGCTCAATCAGTTTAATATATTCTACATATTTGTATTTAGAAGTATTAGTTTATAAGACAATGATTTGAGGTGTTTTAATGTTTGTGATGCTGATTGCACAGCTTCTATGACATGTGTCTCTGTGCTGTCTTCGACAGTATTTTATAAATCTTTGCACACCTAACTGCCAACACGTTTTAAATTGTTTTCAATACCGTAATTAATATAATTGTGTATTTAATATTGAAGATTTTTAACCAATTTACAAACTCACAAAACTTCACAAACATTTTTGCTTCTATCATAAGTATTACCTCCAATAATGTTAAGTATTACAGACATACGTCGTTTAATTTAATAATAATATATAATATAGTTGGGACAGGTCCCTTGCTCTGGTTATTTGATTCGAGTGGTATACGTTGTATTGTAAGTTTTTGAGAATCAAATAATAATCACGATGATATTAGAATTGTCTCCAAATAGCACAGTGTTATTTGAATGATGGCAAGTATTCCATGTTCTTTATTTAAATATTGTGTTTGGAGACGTTTTTAATGGAATGCAACAGCCTGCAGCGAAAGCATGAAAAAGAGTTAAATATCTGTGGCCCGTGGGTTGCATTTCATGCTTTCAAAGCAGAAGCAAGGGGCAGATTTACGTTTACAGGACGAGTCAATAAAACGTGATCATTTATATTTATGATACAATAATTATAGATATTGTGAAATCTAAAATATAACATTTGTTACATAGATTCTTCCCATACATACGCTATTTTGTTATCCACATCCATATTTAAAATGCAATAGTTTATCTGATGGTGAGCTTATTTACGTCATTTATTTAACTTCGCGTCAAGTTTACAATTTTTGGCTCTTGGATTTATTATCTGTGACTCATTTCATAAAAGCTTGTCATTTATATAAAAGTCGTAAATAAGGTAATCGTCAACCGGTACGCAATAGTTAATTATTTCAAATATTTTTAATACTCGATCAGTGTCGCGGGTCCGTTTAAGAATAAATCGACTACAAATAAAGTTTAGGATAAAAATAACACCGGCTTAAGATGGATCGATATTTGTTTCGCTGACTTTACTATAGTTATACTTGGTTATTTTTTAACTGTTCGATACCTATTCAATCCATTGTTGCTTTTTGATATCGATTTATAAGTCGTTGAAATTTCTATCTAATGTCCGTAAAGTATATCGTCGTTGTATTCTTAAGTCCATAGCTTTAATATTTACAGTATCTTCCATTATATTGTAATTATTATAACATATAGCAATAGTTCCCAATCAGCCACAGTACCTCAGTAATTATAACAAATAGCAGATTATTATTAAGCTATGTTAGTAGTATCGTTAAAGTCATCCGTTAACTGTTATTATTTTTGTTATAGATACAATTTTCAACACTAAGAGGGCCTAACTCGACAGTTGACATTCAACTAAAATTACAAAAAAATATTTTTCAGATTACATATTGAAATTGACATTTCGATTTTCTCTTTGGTTATTTTGGCCAGTGTTGCTAGAGTGTATGGTATATAATCTGCTGATACATTTACTAGTTACATAAATAATAGTTCCGTAAATCAAAGTGCACTTACGTCTTTTTAATAAGGAGGACTTTATTATATAATATACTATACCTAGTTGCCGCGATACTGATCGAGCTCTCGTTGAAACCCGTCTGCAGTAACTATATAAAGTATTTACAATGTACCCACTAATTACATACGATATATTGCTAGAAATAACTTTTATCTACAGAAAGTGAGACAGTTGACCGATTTTGTTAAAAAATACATAGAGGAAATGCCAAATATTTTTACGAGTAATTTGGTGAGGAAATTAAGTACCGCACTCGATATGCAGTATTACAAACGTGATGAAACCAATACCCAAATACACAGATTTTTATACTAATACAAAAGTTTTACAATTTCGTTGAAAATATTTAAGATTTCACCTTAAGATTTCTTTTTAAATGTTGTGCTGTACTTAAACACTTTGCCAAAGCAGGCCAAGCCTTGAGATAAATTTTACTTTCGCCATAGATATAGTTTAATGTTTACGTTAAAATAACTATATATTTTTAACAAAATCGTGCCACTTTAACTTGTTATGCTTCGGTAACATTTTATACACAGAAATATTTTTTTATGATAGCAATTTATATGTGAATGTTAATTAAGTGGCAATTCTAATTTTAACTGCACTATATTTTTGCTGACACGTTTAGTTTAAGATTTTTTAGTAATTTAATGTATGCACGTCGATCTGCGTTTTTATTAACAATATTTTATCTTTTATCTTTTATAAGGTTCTTAAGTGATACGTACTCTCGACAAATAAAAACATACACTTTATTAATTTATTCTACCGTATTTGAAATTCGTTCGAGCGTATGTGACATTTACGCCCATTTTTGCCTGAGCTGACATGTGTTATGAAAGTTATAGTTTGCCATCGTTGAAAGGGGAATTTAGTTAGAGTGTTTTGTTATATTTTGATGTTCTGATACTGGGGAGGGGCTGTAAAAATGTTTAATAGTATTGTGTATGATCGATAAGGTAGATAGGACCGTAATATCGGCTCTAGGGAGTTAGATGTCCCCTTCGACTCGAATGTGGACATCGCCAGTGAAGACACTTAAAGTACTATTGTTGTAGATTGTATGGAATTCGACTGTATTGCTTTCTTTTGTCACTAAAAATATTGAATCTTAAATACAACAGTATTTTTACAATGTCAGTAAGTTACGCGTGGAAATGTATTTGAGTTTCCCACTCAAATATTTCCCGCGTAAATTATGACAATGACACTTCTCAACCTCAATAGACAATAATTCACACTTCATATATAAAAACTTGTTACACCAAATTTATACTTTTTAATCTTTTTTATTCATGAATTCAATAGATTTTAGTGATAAAGGAATGGTGGTGTCTTTACTTGTTTTGATGTTGTTGATATTTGTGATTAAGGAATCAACTCGGCTGCGTAGTAGGAACATATCAAAAGGATGAATTATTAGTACTCTAAGTATCTTTCAATCTCATGTTAAGAAATTGAGTTGTTTAAAGCGGTCCTTTATGTTTCATACGAAAACTGTACTTTCAATAATATTAAATAATGGGACAATCGGTTGGATGTAATAAAATTTAATAAACTCGCAGTGATTCCATTGACCATGTGTAGTTTCTTATTTTCCTTAGTATTAGAATATACCTTTTAGTTAGTACTAGATTAAGTGAACATTTTATTATTATAAAACAATGAAGCAGTAATGTTACACTGCAGCATATCTCATATTGATACAGGCCTATGCGCAGTGATACACAGATCTCTAGCAGGATCAGAGCTGGCTAGCTTGACGTAGGTACACATAATAAGCCCGCTACACACACAGCCAAGTTCCTTAGAGAAGGAACCTTTTGTCAAATCTAAATGACGTATTTTAAACTTAAGAATTGAATACCTTGTGATGTTCACTTTGATATATTATAAAAGTGTTAATCAGCGGTTAAGCCTGATAACTTGCTGCTGTTCATCACCTTCCTTCTAATAAAGAAAAAATATTAAGTGCAAAAACCCACAAAGGGTTGTACTGCTGGATTTCAAAAGTAAAATTATGATGTATAAAAGGATATACATACAAAAGGAACGAAAATCTAAATGAAAATGTTTAATTTGTTTCACGAAAATTGGTTTTCTTATATTCCTTTGTGAGAATGATAGATTACCAGCGAAATAATTATATCTGGAGTAAAAAGGTACACGGCCAAGGTTAAGTGGTGGAGGTTACTAATACCAAAAATATTATCAACGAAACACAGCATACATATTTTTTCAACCCACATTTTTCATGCTACTATTAAAATTAAAAAAGACAGTAAAACAAAATAAAGCTCAGGTTTTTATTTAAAACATTAAGTACATTAGTGATATAGTAAAATAAATAGATAAATCTAACATTAAAATTCGAAATTATTTACGTAAAATGAAATGCATTTTGGTATAATCTATAGGCAGATGAAAAGTATCACAAAACATAGTCCACGAAACATTATCTACTAGGATTAACCGTATAACAATACTCTCTCTCTCTTTTGTATACAACAAGACAAAGATAGACATCCCACATGCCCTGAAAATCTATGCCTACACATACAAGGTAACATTAACAAAGAAAACTGACTTGGAAGAAAAAGATAAAAATATAGCTGTCTCCCTTACACACGTTGACATAAAACCTTATAAGACAGCGTAAACATTTTCAATATCATCTTCATAGTTTTCGTTTACATTACAGTGGACTGCACGAAGGGCCTTTGAAAATATGGTGTAATATCCAACAAGAATACATTTATAGTCTGTAATGCATCATACATATTCTGGTGAATGTAAAACGAACAAAACGATGGCGCGTTTCGTTAAATTACGTACGTAAACACGCAAACAATCAAACGCAACGCGCCTTTCGACAGAAGTTTTCAATTCTGTCGCAAAATTCCTCCTTGGAATGTACTTATTAAAGTTATTACACAATAATTAAGAGACTAGCTAGGCCTATAAGTTTAGACACTATTTCAAAAGTCACGCCACACAAGCAAAAAAAAAGTATCACGTTATATTGTAAAAATATTGAGAAATATAATCTAAACATTATAGAAATCAATCATTCTTGCCGTACAGAGCATAAGCTTTCGACTTGGTATCATTACCAAGTGATTTTTTCATTTCAAAACGTGATCGTTTTCAAAAAAAAGGTTTCATGCTATCGTTGAACGTATAACGATTGACTATTAGAAAGCGTTATATATGTATTTCCAATTTTGTTAATGTATATTTACGGGTTGCTTGTCATTTGCTCATTTCGCGAATTTTGTAAACGTTTTTGACATTCATAAGCATGCCCTAAGACGCATCTAAATTGAATAAACGTATTTAGATTTTTGATTTTGATTAAAAAAAATGTAATAAAAAAGAAAACACAAATGAAATTTTTAAACTAAAGGTAATGGCTTATTTCATATATAGGTAAAAATATAAATAAATCGTTAGCTAATAGGGTAAAATAACTTGATAAAAATTCATCAAAAGTGGAAACAAGCACTGCCATATAAGAATTCTGAACTACCTACTTAAAAAAACTCAGTTTTGGTTTTGGTATTCCAATTTAACTGTTATGTGTCGTAATGTCAACTTTAAAATATATATAATACTTTGAAAAAAGAAATAATCTTATATAAAATTGCGCTAAATAAAAAAAAATCCAACAAATGTTACGAAATCAAAACTGAATAAATGTAATTTAAAATAATTAAATAGTATTATTTATATTATTGAGTTTATACTCACGTTAATGATTTTAAATGGAACTATTAACTTTTTTAATTTATGTCTTTCTATCATAGTGAACGTGAACACAATTTGACGAAAGAAAAGTTTTAAAGTATTGACTGATTTAATTTTTATAATGAGTTACATATTAAAACAGAATTCTATACAAGTTTCGTAACATAATACGTAACTTAATCTGGAATAAAATATATTAAATTTATTTTCAACCTCATTTCAATTATATAATAAACCATTGATCTCTATGTCTTCTATATGTGTTTTGATATTTTTTTAAATAATCAATAAATCAGCCTTCTATGCCTGACATATCGATTTTGGGTTTCTTCACTACCTTCCTTCAATACAAGATAAACACATATACAGAAAATACCATTGGTACACAGCCGGGGTTAAACCTACGACCTTAGATGTCGCACGCTCAAGCCACAAGGCCAACACTGCTCTAATCAAAGGGTTTCAATTTTTTTTTAATTTTAAACGTAAAAATAAAATATTATCTAAATCAATAGCATAATATTAGACTCGCTGAATTTCGAAAAGCTTGACGTCCGTGTCGTACCAGATTGGTGGGTCAACGTTTCTGAAAAAAAAGTTTACAACCAATTAAACTGAAACTTGTTAAGTACTTTCGTCTCTTTCTGTCAAATTGTGTTTACGCTGTGATAGAAAGAGGCATAAACACTTTGTTTAAAACTGTAGTTTTTGATGAATAAATGGTTAAAATATAAAACTTTCTTTAGAAAAATGAAACCTGAATGCTAGATGTGTAGATACTTATATCTCAAAAACTACTAAACCGATTTTGATGACACTTTGACTGCCTTAATTGGAATTTATTGATCTGAACAATATGACTTTCAGATTACGAGAAATTTGGAAAAACAAAACATACAATTACACTTGCTTAGAAGCTCAAATAAATACAGAATTATTGTCAAATTTTAACACCGGCTCACTTATAACCTTTTTAAAGTCTAACCACACAGCCAAATATATAAAAAAAAATTACCTGATATATATAACCCCCCACATATAAGTGCGGAACCATGCAGCTGTTCCAGCATTAGGCTGGTACTTCCGAATCAGAATCGGGTGCGGTACCGGTAGGAGACCCACCAACGTCCCATGCTGGAGGAAACGGAGGATTTCCGACTCATCAGTGAGACCCCTGTTAAAAAAATCTTGCTTTAATTCCCTGCTAGATTATTTAATTTTTTTGGATAAAGAATTTTCAAAATCGGTTCAGTAGTTTTGAAGGACCGAATTGGTGGCAGCTGGTTCCACATAACAGTAGTGCCCAAAAACTTGCTTAAATAACGCTTCATTGTGGAACGAAGTCGAGGTGATAGGAGTGAAGTTTCCAATGTCCGACGATGAAACTCAGCTGCAGATATTAATCTGAACAACTCCTCAGAACACTCTCCATGGTAAATGCGGTAGAAGATGCAGAGAGACCCCACATCTCTACGCAACACCAAGGGATCAAGCCGCTCGTAAAGACTGGTCGTCGACAATTTGAATCGCTCTTCCTTGAATACGGTCAAGTAGAAGGAGCTGGTACTGGGGAGTTCCAGAGAAGAGAACAGCAAGGGGTGGACCGAAATGAAGTACCGTCTCGCCTTCTGAGCACACCAAGCTTCTTGGAGGCTAATTTAGCCTTTCCCTCCAAATGACCGCGAAACTGAACGTCAACGCCCTGTATTCCGATGCTAGCTGAGGCTTTAAGGAGAGAGTCTTCGAAGAATATCTAATTGGCGTATAATTGTCTATGTATACTTACATTGTATAGAGTAATTTCGCTAGGGAAAGTCCGTATCGCGTGATACTTTTGCTAACGAAGCTACCTACTTGTCAATGCAGATCTTTTCCACCTGTGGGACCAGAACTTGCAGAAGTCTCATGATGGTCTGCAAGGGCAGCCTTCCTCGCCAGCTCGATACCCACTCGCTGCTGGCCTTCCAGCCCTCTGGCTTATCGTTCACGCGGAGACTATCCCGCTACAAACATTTTCATATAAAAACTACTACATCCAGAAAAATTCACTAAACGACGAATTTAAAATATGTTTGCCTTCATCATCAGTTCGTACAAGAAAAAGCTTATGATTCCGAAGATAAAGGTCACAAAAAACATTTTTTGGCTTCCAGACTCAAATATATTAAAAGCCTTTTCAAAAACAATTTAAGGCCAGCAACGCACTTACAAAATGGATATCCAAGCTTTCATGGCGTTTATCCCATTAAAAAAAAACCCCAAATAACTTAACCAAAGGCACTCGCAATGCCAGAAGGGTTGCAAGTGCGTTAGAGGCCTTTTAAGAACTAAATAAAATAATCAGTGGCGATACAACCTTTTTAGGTCTGGGCCTCAGATTTCTGTATCTGTTTCATAATCATTTGTCAATTTAACGCCGTCGACTTTTTGGGTCTAAGGCAAGGCGTTTTCCTCACCATGTTTTCCGTCACCGTTCGAGAGAATGTTAAATGGGCATAGAAAGTAAGTCAATTGGTGCACAGCCGGGGATCGAACCTACGACCTCAGGGATGAGAGTCGCACGCTGAAGCCACTAGGCCAACACTCCTCCCTTTTAAGGTACTGGTACGCTCTTTTCTTGACCGTAAATCGAGTTGGTTCGGAAATAATGCAATAGGCTGGTTTGAGATATCATAAATTACGTTAAAAATGCCCAGTTTTTTACTATACATAGATAAATAATGTTCATAAGTGACTCACGTGGGTAACAGTCCGTGTGACATCCTCCCTGTCAGACTCGGTGTCGGTCCGATCCTCTCCGTCTCCAGACCTTCGAGGCAATAACTGCTCACGCGCAGGTGGATGCGCAGATTCACGCTCTGTCATTGTTGCTATCGCTAAATATTATAAATGCATTTAATTTGTGATAGAAATTAATATATTATGTCAAAAATTAAAACATGCTATGAAATATTTATTTCGTAATCCTACTAGGTATATAAATTATATGTATCAAAAAGCAATTATACTAATTATATAGCTAAATATGCAATACATAATATATACAAAAAGTTTCAAACACACCCAAAACAAAACAAAAAATCGGTTGACTGTAAAGTCGGTTTACTGACGATAGTTGAACGTGACAACGTCACGAATCGCCCACTCAAGTAGGAGAAGATGCCGAACGCCGAAGAAGCGCGGGTCCGATTGTGCCCCCCCCCCCCCCCCGCGCCCCCGCTCGCACTCCAAGCCTTAAATAGAACGCCTCAGAGCGAGGTAACGCCGCTTGGGTCATGTTTTTTCGTGCGTGCAGCCGGCTCCATCGAATTATAAGACGTTGTCACGTCAAAAAGGAAAAAATTATAAAATATATTTAAGTAAGAAATACGTGTTGTTTGTTGTGTGTTGTGTGAGGGTGGTGGTGGAGGGGTATACATCTTTATAGCAGTCTTGGAAAAATACAACAAATTTTTCTAAATAAAATTGGTGGATCACGTCACATTTTTTACCAATGGTGATGCGTTTTCAAAATTTCAATTTTCCTCCTTTATTTTGCATTGACGTAATTAATTAATAAATAAAAAAAAATAATTAAAACTCCTTTATTTGTTTAAAAGGTAAATGACAAATGTCATTATGGTCATTCAAAATTCTTGGCATACGAACTTCACGCATATTCTATTTCTTTTTACTTGTAGATTGTCTTATTCCTATCTCGCTCGCGCACGCTATAATCACACTCCTAATTTTGTGTCACGGTGCGCGCGCATCGTAAAATTTCACTCTCATAAATTTTTCATAACGCGCCTTAAGAAGTATAACTTCAAAAACGTGTGGGACTCGGGGACTGCCGCGGTTAAGCTATTGCATAGCATTTTTATAAACTTATGCAGTTATAATTATTTATTTATGCAGTATTTGTTTTTCTTTGATATTAATTCAAGTTTTTTCTTTGATATTATTATAACACCTATATAGTCTGTCCCACTCTATCGCGTATTTGCCGCACCTATATTACGTCATCGTGTGTTAGGTTTTTTTCGCTACGGAATTTCTTGATTCGGTCGCCGCGCTCAAAGCCCGCGATAAAATCTACGCAATAGCTTAAAACCTTTGTTACAATGCAACGATAAAAGTCTGATTCGACTGCCGTTAAATATTAAACTCATTAGTTTCATGAAATGTATTATTGTAGAGAACAAGAGAGATAAACATTTATCGCCTGGAAGAGAGCGTAGGAACTGATGTTGTGTTTATTTACTTGTATGAATAAAACCTTACCTGGTGTATCGGGTAAGGTGGGATTGAGGGTCCCAGGTTCAGCAGGCTGCGCCGGTCGAGAACCTTCCATCGCAGCCTCCACAACTGACTCCGCACTACGGGATCTGAAAGGAAATCGTTTGCATTACATTAAGTAATATTGTCTTTGATTTAGATAAAACTTTTAAATGGTTTTTTTTTTTAAAGACAATTCACACCAATTGACCTAGTCCCATGCTAAGCTGGTGAAGCTTGTGTTATGGGTACTAGGCAAAGGATATATATACATATTATAGATAGATAGACATATAAATACATATTTAAACACCCAAGACCTAAGCACAACTCCAAATGCTCATCACATCTATGTTCGTCTCAGCCGGGGATCGAACCCGGGACCAGGATTCGAGTCAGGGGTACTAACCACTAGACCAATGAGTCGTCAAGTTTTAAGACGTTTTAATTTCATTTTTTTAATATTTTATACATTTCAAACTAAACGTTTATTTTTCTTATTTGTTCCAATTAATAGTTGTGTCGTTCCCCCCCTTGTTTCAGCTGGCATTCAAAGTTCAGTAACAAAAATCATTTTCTTGCTAGTGGCTTCAACGTGCGAATATCATCTCCGAGGTCATAAATTCAATACCCGGTACCGATGGACTTTTCTTCTATAGGAGGCACAGAAGCTGATCACCTACTAGATTAAAAATAATGAAACAGATACAGAAATCTGAGGCCCAGACCTAAACAGGTTGTAGCGCCACTGATTTATTTTAGGGGTCGTTCAAGTATTACGTGAGCACTATAGGGGGGAGAGAGGATCTTTGATTTTCTTATTTGGTGATGACGTTAACAGTACTTATTCACATTTTTACACATCGTCTATGCTTGAAAAGGAAATGCATTTTTGAGGATTCCTACAAAAATTAATACGTTTATGTACTACTATTTTTGAGAGCTTTGCTTACTTTTGCCTCCTCTTGTCAAGAGGGGGGGGGGCCGAAGGGGGAACAAATTGCAGTAAATCTGCTTACGTAATACTTGAAGGGCCCCTTACTGACGTTCATAAGTTTATATAATGATTAATGAATTTAATAAATAAATACCTGGGTAAGGCTTTGTCAGTATCTCTAGCGTTGGCGGCGGCCAACGATCTCGCGATGGAAGCGTGTTCGTGAGGCAAATTTGCCAAATTGTGAAATACCGCCCTCTTGCGGATTATCGTGTACACTAGATTTGAATTTCCTGAAACCAATAAAAAATATTATAGAAGATGTTCGATTACAATACAAAGTGTGTTCAATTAATTTTAAAAAAACAGAAGTACACCTTTTATGTCTGGACCTCAGAGTTATCTGTTTATTTATAAAATAAATTATAAGCAAGTAGCTGATCAGCCATCTGTGCCTGACATGCCGTCGACTTTTGGTCTTAGGTATGCCAATTTTATGAACTAAATAGAAAATGCGTAAAACAAAAAGTGGGGCATAATAAAGCGCCCCTAGAGGGTCATATCTACCGTGACCTTTTGGGGTTATATAATAAGTGTCTTGTGTAATCATGGAAATAATAATAAAATCGTATACTTAAAAAACTAACTAATTTTTTATAGAACAAAGGCAAATGGGCAAGAGGTTTAACTGATGTTAAGTGATAACGCCCACGGACACTCTCAATGCGAGGGTTCGCGAGTGCGTTGCCGGCCGTTTAGGAATTGGCACGCTCTTTTCTTGAAGGACCCTAAATCGCATTGGTTCGGAAACTTACCATCAAACTGATACTGTATCATGTTATTAAACATTTCGAGTAGAAAGAATACAAGGTGGTGGTTCTGGGGTTGGGAGAAGAGAAACCATGGCGTGCTGAACGCTTCTAGAAGATGAAGGAGCTTCGTCGATGCCACCATCGACAAGGTTTTGAGGTATGGCGACACTGGAAAACATATTATTAAATAAAATAAGCTATTTGACAAGATTTTAAAAACTTTTATAACTTATTTCTTAGCGACTACCTACTATTTAACCAATTTCTGTAAAGTTGCATATAGTAGATCATTTTTCGAAAAATAAGGTCATAAAGAAGTTTCACTTCTTACGTGTGTACACGCACACATTTTTTTTATGTTACAGGAGGCAGACGGGCAGGAGGCTCACCTGATGTTAAGTGATACCGCCGCCCGTGGAAATACTTCAGTGGGCAGCTGGTTCCACATAGTGGTGGTGCGCGGCAGAAATTGCCTTAAGAATCGCTCAGTTGTGGAAATAGCTTAATAATTCTGTTAGTTGGATTTAAAAATTCATCAAACATTCATTATTACTCATAACATTGTTTATTCTTGAATAACACAAATGACAAATGACATATTTTTTTTATGGCTTTTATTTGTGCCAACTGGGCACAAGGTACTTCGCCAGTGTCGTGTAGATGGAGAAGGCACGAAGGAGATTGATCGGTGAAAATAATAATTTAAAAAAGTTGAAATTCGATTGTTAGTTTTAAGAGAGCCCAAATATGAGTAATAACATTATTAAATACCTACTATATCCTATTTACGAAAAATTTATATATATTACACTTTAATAAATGACATATTATTTTTCGATCAAAAACAGTCACCGACAAAAGATACGTCATCGTCGATTCGACTTATTGACTGTTTTGTCTCAAGTGACGTATAAAATGTATTTTTAAGTATCGATTTTGTGATAAATTAATGATTTACATGTTCTTTTACTCCGTAACATTTTTATTGTACTTGTTTTTTATTTATGGTTGCGAGACTTATTGACGAAGTTATAAACACCCTGTATGCAAGGTTAACGTAACGTTTTACAAAATGAACCCCCCCCCCAAATTCGTTACGTAATAGTTGAACGCGGTTGGGTGTTAATACCACCCACTTTTTGACGATACTAATTATCTAGGGTGTCCGGGGCCTCATGGCGCCCCGCGCGAATTTTTAATTAAAGTTTTGGTAAGTATTAAAATTTGTAAACAATCCGCCATTTTCTCCTTGGTTATAAGTGTGTGACGTCACAAAAAACGGTATACATTGTTAATAATCGTTTTATTATTTCGTCCTCAGTTTAAATTTTTAGAATAATCAAGCAAATTGAAATTAACTTTTATTTTTCTTCTTTTCCCCTTTTTTTCTTTTTTTTTTTTTTTTTTTTTTTTTTTTTTTTTTTTTTTTTTTTTTTTTTTTTTTTTTTTTTTTTTTAAAACCAAAAAAAAAAAAAAAAAAACCCCCCCCCCCCCCCCCCCCCCCCCCCCCCCCCCCCCCCCCCTAAAAAAAAAAAAAAAAAACCCCCCCCCCCCCAAACAAAAAAAACAAAAAAAAAAAAAAAAACACCCCCCCCCAAAAAAAAAAAAGAAAAACGGGGCCCCCCCCCCCCCCCAAAAAAAAAATTTTTTTTATTTTTTTTTTTTTTTTTTTTTTTTCCCCCCCCCAAAAAAAAAAAAAAAAAAAAAAAAAATTTTTAAAAAAAAAAAAAAAAATATAATTTATTTTTTTTTTTTTTTTTTCCCCCCCCCCCCCCCCCCACCCAAAAAAAAAAAAATTTTTTTTTATTAAAAAAAAAAAAAAATATTTTTTTTTTTTTTTTTTTTTTTCCCCCCCCCCCCCCCCCAAAAAACAAAAAAAAAAAAAAATAAAAATTTTTTTTAAAAAAAAAAAAATTTTTTTTTTTTTTTTTTTTTTTTTTTTTTTTTTTTTTTTTTTTTTTTTTTTTTTTTTTTTTAAAAAAAAAAAAAAAATTTTTTTAAAAAAATTTTTTTTTTTTCCCCCCCCTTTTTTTTTTTTTTTTCCTTTTTTTTTTTTTTTTTTTTTTTTTTTTTTTTTTTTTTATTTTTTTCCCCCCAAAACCTCCCCCCTAAAATTTTTAAAAAAATTAAAATTTCCTTCCCCCTTTTATTTTTAAAAACTTACCATTAACAAGTATAGTCAAAAGACAGTCGAACAACGGCTGCAGCCTCTGGTGCCCCGTGGTCACCACCTTATGGAACACCACGACTAGGAGATCAGCGTGAGTGCCCGTGAACACCGGAATGTCCATGGGCACAGTAGCCGAGTAGGGCTTGTTCAAACGGACCCCGAAATTCCGTTCCCCGGATAAAAGGAGAAGTATGAATACTCCAATGTGCATAAGTCCTACGCGAGCTGAAGAAAAAATATTTTATTTTACCATGGACATTTGTCAACTTTTCTCCGAAGCATTTTGTGCAATTTTACTGAGTTCCGATAGTGTTAAATCCAATAAAATATCGTCGAAATTACTGATTTTGTGCAACAAACAACTAAAATAGCAAGAACATTTTTGGAAAATGGCGCCAGCCGTAAAAGAATATAAGCAGAGATTTTTTTTTGTTTCCTTCACTCATTCTGGGTAGGCAAAGGGAACTATGCCCATACAGCCAAGTCTTCAGTAGAATTTCTTTATTGATATGAAATTAAATTTAATGAGATGAAATGAAACCTAACTCATTGAATCAAATCATTAAATTTGACATTGAAACAAATTAGTAGCTTCGTTTTAGAAATATTTGCATGAATCATAAAAACTTCATCCATTATTTTTTTTAGTAAAAACTTCGTGGTTGGTTTTTTCTTTTTAATAGACATTATTTTGACAGTTGGGAAAGAGAACGCACGAGTTCGGAAAAGGTGAAGAAAAAGCAAGAGTATGCCAACATTCCGAACGCTATAAGTCTTTATTCATATAGGTAACTAAGTACACTTATGAACGTCAATAGGAAAAATGTTAAATTGATTCTAAATTTACGTTTACTACCAGTTTGGGCAAGAAGAACCGGCAAGAAACTCTCCGCCACTCTAATCGCCAAGTTCACCTTATGTTAAGTGATATCTCCTCCCATGGACACTCACATTGCCAGAGGGCTCGCGCATTGCCGGCCTTTTGAGAAGTGGTACGCTCTTTTCAGGACCCTAAGTCGAATTGGTTTAGAAATACTTCAGTGGGTAGCTGGTTCCAACACTTGCCATGATAAATGTATAAATTATTTAATTTGAATATATGTGAAATATATACATACATTGATCAGCGCGTGAGTCATTCAGATGGTACAGTATCGGGACCAACACTTCCAAGACGTCACTACTCTTCAACACGTAGTACATGAATTTCTGAAACAATTTATTTATTTACATATATTGTTACGAAGACGGGGTAAAATGTTGCTAGATTTTTCCACTTTGACTTTTAACTTTTCAGCAGGCTGAAATGTGATTTCTGACCGTTTCAGGAGAGGGTCAATCACATATTAAAATAATGTAATTTTCATAATGTTACCCTCGTTTTCAGGAAACTGAAACATTTTCAGGCAGTTTCAGGACATGTGTAGTCGACTACAGGAAACCCGTTTTCGGGCGTTTTCAGAACGTTATACCCCTATGATGAAGGAATATTCTAGACCGAATGTTCTAGGTGTGGGACAAGGACGGAATGATACGCGAGAGACGGGAAGGTCAGAAGCTTCTCGAAGTCATGCTGAACACTGTAGAACGCTGTACGACAAGGACGGAGCTATGTGCGAAAGAGATAAAGAGTACGTCGTTCTAGAATTGTGCAATCGCTACTCAGTAGGAATTCTGTCTTAAGATTTATCGAACATCGTTCAAGATAATTGGGATCCCAATCCCAGGGATATATAGCGAGCAGAAACGCGAACAATTAATTCAGTTTCGAATGCGATTTCAAGAGATAAAGTTCGAATATCGTGAAGACAAGTGATATACTGTGTGAAGTGCGCGTAATTAAAGTAATTAGTGACAGTATTTTGTGTATGCGTAATTTGTGGCTTTTTAGTGTGTTTATAAATTCCTTATTGATTTATTCAAAAAAAAACCCTTGAAGAGATCTACGGCATTTTCTATCCGATCCCCTAGCCTCGTAACAATATGATGTGGCGAACTGAGGAAGGTTTCAATTTAACTAAATCTTACTAGAGAGTGTTATTGAACTGAAACTTCTTTAGGCTTCTTTTAAAATTTTTACGGATGAAACGCAATAATAATAATTTTAGCGTCACGAAGATGTGGAAGAGGGAAAAGGGAGAAGGCTATTGAGATCGATAGAGAGAGAGAAAGGGTGAACGTAGCAATATACGAAAAAATACGAAATTGTAATTTAAAAATTAAAAAGTAAAGAGAATTTATGAAATATTAGTATTTTATATAGATATATATATTTTTATATTTAATTCGTCATTTGAGATTTCAATAAATTATTTTCATAAAATATAAAGTATACGAAATTTTCAATTTGTATATCTATATTCACAAATACATGGAGTAAATGATCATCTATTGGGGCTTTAGCCGTAGTAATAATAAGTTTACAAAGAAGTTTCACTTCTGACATGTATACTTTGTACGCACGCACTTTTTATATCAAAGGTCTTACCTTATTATAATCACACATCTTCCAGAACAGCACCAACAATTCCTGATGCAGTGCTACCTTTTTACTCGAGTTCGGGAGATAGGTCTGTTGCAGAGGGTTATTGAGGAGCCGGGTCACACCACGGAGTACCAGAGAGAAGTCTTCGTCGCGATGGATCCGGGATAGATAGTTGATGAAGAGGTTGTCTGGTAGACTCTGAATAGACAATTTTTATCTGTAAAATCGCCTCCATGACTTCATAATGCTTTTATAAGGATTCGATTCCCGGCGAAACAATAATTATTTTAATTCTAATTAAAAATAAAACCCAATTTGTTAACTTCGTGTTCCGTTGACGCGTGAATAACCCCGAGGTTTTGGGTTTCTACCCCATAAACACAAAATAAAACAAATTAAAATGAAATAAATATAAAAAGACACCAAGATTGAAAACAGTGTGACTGTCGTCTAATGCTGAGGCCCCGGGTTCGCTTTACGGGAAAACAACAGTTACTTCGTTTATATTAACTCTTGTTAAAATCATTCAATCATTATGCTACTCATAACTTTTATTCACACAACAAATAAATATATAGTATAGTATATTACTCAGATTTATGGTCAACATTAAACTCACCTCATCCGAATCCTCGCTGACGACATTGCTTGTATCATGGTCTAATGTTACGATTAAAACTTGCAAAGCGACCTAAAAAACATAAGCAAAATATAGAATATCCCATAAATCAACATAAAGACGAAACCGTGGGATAGAGTTCATAAATAAGTTCATAAATGTATTAAAAAATTATTATTTTTAAAAAGAAAGCTTTTTTTTGTAATCTGTGCCGTTCATAACTATTACATTCGAAAGTGTTGAAAACTGTTCTGTGCAATGGCGGCAAGTGTCAAAAAGATGGCGCATTTTGTCCGAATTCCAAAGTAACACATAAATTTTTGCACAAAAAAACCAAAAAAAGGTTTTTTTTTTTTTAATTTTAATTGTTTTTTGGGAAATTCAACTAACTATAATATATTAATTGAAAGACAATCTGATTAGTCGTAATAATAGTAAATATGTAAAAAAGATTTAACTTTACTAAATTGACTAAGTGTACTTATTTTATTTAGAAACTCGACATAAGGGGCTATTGACAAATACATTTTTCGAATTACTAATTCGAATACAAAAAATTGTGTGGTGTTTTTTGATTTTCTAATCGTTCTATGGTTTGTAATAACTTGTATCAAGAACTGTACTGACGTTCATAAATTTTTGTAGCAACATGTCTTAAAATATTTCAAGCATCTACAGTTATAAAACAACTAAAAACAGATTTTCCATTAGGAATTATTATGAATTTTATTCAAGCTTAATTAATTTACAAGACATACCTCAACAAGTGGCTCGAGGGTGTCAGCGAACAACAAATGGTTGTATGGCACACCCAAACCGACAGGGTCGTATGAGCAGACTGTGTTCAATAACGATGTGAATAGAGGCAAGGCATGGCGGTTGTCTGGACTTGTTAGGTAGCTGAAAACATTGTTAATTCGAAGTGAATGATGAAGATGGTACCAATTAAAAAGCCGGCAACGCACTTGCGACTCCTATGGCAGTGTGTGTCCATATAGCTGCTGTATCACTTAACATCAGGTGATTCATTAAATTTAAATAAAATAGCTCATAGCATCATATTTATGAATAACATTTCTATAAAAGTTTGGTAAATGAAATCGAAAATGAGGTAACATTTGATTATTAAAAAGAAACCATCTAACCTATCATCAATTTGAGGTGCATCAAAACACCTAAGGGTGACTAACAATGTACACTCACTCGCACACTAACATTCAATAGCACACATTGTATGTCATATGTTACATTATATTAAAATGGATTGTGACTCACGCGATCCACTTATTATGATGAGTAGCAGCTTGTTGCGGGGGCCTATATATAGTCTCGCTGAAGCAAGTCAGTAATAACCGCAATAGTTCTGTCCTATTTGCCTCGTGTTGAGCGCAACGAGCTGGACTCCGGGCAAATCCCACTCCGCCAGCCCAAATATACTCACAGCTGTCTAGAGATGATAATTCTTCAGCCCGCTCCTAATTTAGTAAAGTTTATTCATGTACTATTTTTATGAAATATTGTATACAATATGTATTACTCCCTGACCATATCTCCCACAAATTCAAATTACAAATGTATTGCTAAACCAGGTTGATGCAATCTAGGGTTTCTAGGTACGTTCTAGGTAACACACACTGATACACAAGATGGGGGATATGCCTGTTGCACATGACACTTCAACCTGGCATTTTACCTGATTAGGTAAAACACTATAAAGCTATATTATTAAAAAGGAATTTGTTATAAAGCTACTTGTTAAATAAAATGTCAATGTCATATTAACAATTTAACAAACCCAAAATGACATTATTTTATTGCATACTATGGAATTGCAATAAAAAAAATTAAAAACTTTAAAATTTTAATACTTACTGGGCCAGATCTCTTCGAACTAGTCACAGTGAAGTCAGGGCAAAAGAGAAGATCCTGTAATCAAATTTTATCTTTTAGAATTGGATCATGTAAATAAAATTACTGACAATCATAGTAAGATCCTAATTGGTTTATTATAAGGTGCTATTTACAATGACAGTCAATTTTATTGGATAAATGTGTGGTCAGATTGTTGTTACGGCTTCAAAACCCCAATAGCCTTAGTCAATATAATTTTTGGTGGTTTCAAATCCATATTGAATATATCCTAAATGTAACAAAAATAACATCTTACAATTTATTATCAATCTTTACTTACACACATAGCATTGAGAAGGGACTGTGCAAGAGGCACAGACTCATTTTCAGTAGCAGCTGGGAGTGAAGACCAAAAGAAGCTATGCCATTCAGGTTCTTCTAGCATATATGGCAGTACCCGAGTAAGCAGTCTAGCACAGTTCAGAGCTACAAATAATTCAAATATATTAAAATCTGTTGTATCTCTATACAGTACATAAATTATACTTAGCTATAAAAACACTATTTATAATATTATAAATTCAGTTGCATTTTACTTGGTAAAAAAAACTGTGATACAAAAACATTTTTTTAAACAAACACTGCAATCCACAATTTACCAGTCTGTTGTTCTCGTTGTGTTCGACAACTGCTATCCACAATCTTAACCATTTTTTCCACGGCTTTGTATACAAGGGTTGCAAGATTATTAGGTGATTCTTCGCGGAGGGCTCGGATCTCTGCTCCCGGTACCAAAGCAAAAACATCTTGCACATTGGTTACAGTTTCCGACCAAAATTGATCCCAGAAGTTATCATCTGCTGCGTCAATTGGCTAGAATAATAATTAAAATCGATATATAGAAACAACGACATTCTAACACGCAAGATACATTTGTCTATCAGTTGTTTTTACTTGGTTTTTTGATGTTAGTTGCACTACTGCTTTTCGGAAATTGAGTTTCGTGTCAGCATTACCCATTTTTTACATAAATTTTTTATTTTCTGTATGATTATCAACTTGGGAACATTTTCCATCTACGTCTACACAAAACAAACCAAAATCCAAATAGGAATTTCAAATTCAAAAATATAAACTTCAATCTGACGGCATTGACAGATTATCTTTGACAGTGACTGCAGATTTCTATATAGATAATCGTTTCTACAGAAAATGTTTAATTTACGTATGTGGAAAAATCCAGCAATAACTAAGATTTCTGCTATAACCTATGACTGGCTGCTATTGACATTTGTGTTGCTCTAAGTTCCCTTGTCTGTTAGAACTTAGAACTTAGAAAATATTGAGCCCGAAAATGGCTGCAGCAAGTCTTATGCGAAGTGCTTTTAGTGGATTAATTCGGAAATCCACCACAATTAAAACTCCGGTCGTGTGCCGGCTGTCCACTGTGGCTTTGCAACAAAAATATCACACGGTGAAAACTATCGCAAAGCTATACAATACTTCTGACTTACAGAATGGGGTAAGTTCTTCATCTATTGTATGAGGCATTATGATTAATTTGATATAGAGTTAAGTGATACTCTTATTGTGTAAAACGCTTATATTTGTTATTAGGTACTTAAACAGCTCATAAAAATAACTATGGATTTATAACCTCATTTCAATTATTGCATAACTTGTGCCTATAGAACTCCTGAAATGTTTAGGTATCACGTTCGCGTCAATATGCCACAGGGCCCGTGCGTAAGGTCACACCTCAGGACATAGCAGACCGAGTGATGAAAGTGTGCAAGGCTTACGACAAACTAACTAGTGTGCAGGTATCTATTTACATTTTTTTCCACTTTGTTTCAGAAGCCGCAATTCGTGCGCAACTACAGCCATGGCCCTCCACTAACCATTGATATTATTAAAAGTAGAGTGCTTCTAGTTCTACAACTTTTTGATAAAGTTAATCCTGAGAAGGTAGATAAATCTGACTTTTCATTGATCCTGCATTCTGTATTCTAAATAACTATTAATTTAAAATTGAGGCCTAGCTGATTGTCACTTCACAATTTTTTTTTAATAATACCTTTTTATAACATATTTTTCTCTTTTAGCTTTCCTTGGAATCACATTTCATTCAAGACCTAGGTCTTGATTCACTAGACCATGTAGAAGTTATAATGGCAATGGAAGATGAATTTGGCTTTGAAATCCCCGATGGAGATGCGGAGAGACTTCTAAGACCTAAAGACATAGTCCAATACATTTGCGATAAGGAAGACATATTTGAATAAGTTTTTAGATCTTAAAATTTTGATTTGGTCTACAATTCAGCATAGTACCTAGATTTGTTTTAATTTTAAAAACAAGCACTGAATGTCTACATCAAGAGATGTAAAAATGTAAATTGTTTATATTTCATTATATGCCTGTTAGAGTAGATCATTGGCCTTTTTATTTATGAATATATACTGCTCAAAACAATTAGCGGAACAAGATTTTTCTCCTTTCTATTGCTTAAACTAAAATTAGATTTAAATTAACTTGTACGCTATTATTTACCTTGTTAATTTGTTAATTACTACAATTAATAAAAAAATTCAATTTGTTTTTTTTTTATTAAAAAAAAATTAAAATGTGCATAGACGAAAAACTAATTAGTGATAAAAAAGGTCCATCAAAGAAATATTCTTATATCGTTTGAATATTCGTCTTTAGTGACTTTCAGTAACGTGTGTGGCCTCCATGAGCCCTAATCACGGCTTGACAACGACGCGGCATGCTTCGTATGATCCTCCGAATATCTTGTGGAATTCGCTCCCATTCTTCAATCAACGCTTCAGTGAGCTGCTGCAGTGTTTGAGGTGCAATCGGACGCTTCCGGATGCGCCTATCAAGCAAGTCCCAAATGTGTTCAATTGGATTTAGGTCAGGGCTCATGGAAGGCCACTCCATTACACGGATTTCCTGCTGTCGTAAGTAATCTGACGTGATGGCTGCAGTATGCGGCCTGGCATTATCTTGCATTAAAAGAAAATCTGGGCCCATACCATATGCTGCGGGCCAAACATGATCTTCGAGCACATTTTCAATGTAAGTTTAAGCACACAAGCGCCCGGGAACAACGACGAGATCTGTGCGCTCGTCCAAACTAACTCCGCCCCAAACCATCACAGAGCCACATCCAAATTTGTCATATTCCTGGACTGCTGCTGCACTGTATCGCTCGCCTGGGCGTCTGTAAACACGGAGACGACCATCGCAACGTGTTAGACGGAATCGTGATTCGTCAATAAAAAGCACTGGCCTCCAATGTCGAAGTTGCCAATTAGCGTGATTTTGCGCGAACTGTCGGCGAGCTTGTCTATGTTGAATTGTTAGACGCACAGCCCGAACTGGTCGGCGTGATCTCAAATTGGCTTCCAACAACCTATTTCTTACCGTCTGGTCGGAAATTTCTACACCAGTAGCCGTCCTTAGTGTATTTTGTAGATCTCTTGCAGTTGTGGTGCGGTTACGTAAAGCACAGTTGACGATGTAGCGATCTTGCAAACGTGTAGTTTTTCTCTTTCGACCTTGACCACGCCTTCGTGAGTATTCTCCCGTCTCACGGTATCGCTTCCAAAGTCTGTAGATAACAGAAGGGGCTACTCCTAGATCATTTCCTACATAACGCATAGTTCGACCCTCTTCAAGCAAAGCGATAGCTCGGGAGACATGCAATTCAGTCAGATCTGGCATTATGACCTAAACTCACTCGCTTCAATGAATAACAATACTCAAAAGGTTCACTTCAATTTCTATTAATACTCAAAAGATTGAAAAAAACTACTGTAAAGAAAGTAATGAAAATTCAAAGACGTCACTTTGTTTTTCGTCTACAATGCACATTTTAATTTTTTTTTAATAAAAAAAATACAAATTGAATTTTTTTATTAATTGTAGTAATTAACAAGGTAAAAAATAATCCCTTAATTCATGAAGCCCATTTTATGTTTGTACCGAGAAAGGACCCAGTCCTCAGAGCAAATGTAATATATATGCATATATGCACTATGCAGTGCATTACCAAAAAACAACTTAAGTGATCATGGCTGCTACAGAAGTAACTGGGTTTTAGGTGGGTAGCAAAATTTGCAATAGGTCAAATAATGACATTATTATATTAGTTATTTCTTTTATTTTACAAGTTACTGATAAACTGACAGTAAACAATTTCATTAAAAAAAGAAACTTTTAAGCATATGAAAACATTTATGTATAGAGTAAGCTCGCTTCGCCACTCTTCATACAATAACTAAATAACAAAATCTATACAAGTACAATCTATACAAATTATTTACATGACTGCCATCAGCCTCATTCATAAATACTGAATCTCTCAAACTAAATAAACATTCTGATACTGAAACATACAAAATAAATTATCCATTTAAATAAATTATATAGTATAATTTTAGATGTCAATGGAATGCTTCAGGATGAAAAATGGCCAAATACTCATCAAGTCTGATAGGAATTGGACATATCTACTATCATAGGTTATGGGTGGCTAAAATTTTTGTTAGTGTAATTTTTTTTACTAGCAATCTAATATTGTTTTGTTCTCAATTACCACATTTTATGAGGTAAAAAATAACCTGGAGAATTTTAAAATGTTGTTACAGCAGATATGTCAGAGATCAAAATGTGTAGCTCACACTCATTGTCTACACGATCATTAATTATTGTTTTAAGTGAATTAGACTTTGTACTTGTTAAAGTATGAGGCAAATGATTGGTAAATCCTAGTTTTTATTTTAGTAATAAATTACCATTTAAAATGCATGTAATTTAGTGTATTTTGAAGTAATGCTTTGTAAAAGATAGTTTCTAGCATTATAGTAGTAGTCTAGCAATTTAATAGACTACTGATCACATTTGACATCTGTCAGGCTTGGCTTCAGTGACATGACCTGCTTAACACATTAATTAAAGCAAATAAGTCAATACAGACTTTTATCATATGTGAACCAAATTCAGTTATGAAGATGAAATAGTACCTTAACATTTCTAATTAAATTTCTATTGTAAGTCTTAGTAACAAAAAATATAATTTATGATGAAATATTTCAATCAAAAGTTACTCAATTACATTTGAATTCTACTTATAAACTTTAGATTTTTGAAGTTATACTTCTTTAGGCGCGTTATGAAAAATTTATGAGCGTAAAATTTTATGATGCGCGCGCACCGTGACACAAAATTAACAGAATGAAGTTGCCCACGGAAGATGCTACGGCATTGGTGATTGGACATAATTTAAAAACAACATTCGAATAATAATAGAATTTATGTTACACTTAATGTAAGTGAATAATAATATTTATTTATTTAATTTTTCAAATGTAAACTGTACTTTATTGACAATAATGACTCCTTTTCCAGTATTTGAATATTTAATTGTAATTAATTATTTGCATGCAATCAAAAACTATTATTAATAATGCCAAAGAAGTATAACTTCTTACGCGCGTACATAAGTACACGCACCCTTTTTTGCATAATATCCCGTGTTTATTTTAACAATGTTCAGATCTCTTTAGAACTAAAGGTACTAGTAAAAGTGGTTAATTAGTGAAAATCCTAAAATTAACTTCTATTGTCACTATTACAATATGTAAGCTAAAAAAGTTAATAAATAAACTGTATAAAGTTAAGCAATTGTGCATTACCAACTTGCAATGTGAAGTACAAAAAATTAAATTTGTTGAAGGAATTCATTTTGATGAGGTGTCAAATGTGATCAATTTTTTATTTACCAGTCAATTGCATCACACTTGTTCAAGAATGAAATGGGTTGAAACATCTAAAACACAATTGTCCTAGTCCTTAGAGTTTAGCCCAATCTAGTCTGCAGATAATGCTATCTCAGCTTGCTAGATCGAACTCTACCAGCAGATCTAAGTCTTCGAGATGCATTTGGGTCAACCCTTGCCACTCTTACTACAGGCAGCCAATCACACAAGCCCTGTAATGCACGCGTTTTCCTCTTAATTTCTACTTTCTCCTCACTGTCTGATGATGTTCTTTTTTCAGAACTTGGGGATAGGCTATCTTTATTCTCATGTATACTTTTGTCATTTTCTAATACACTCTTATCATTAGACCTATTATCAATATCCATAGGACACGGTAACTCAAGCTCGTCTATCTTAGTTTCCTTTACATTTTCTTCACTTTCAGACTTATTTTCATCAGCTTCACTGAGAGTTTCGAGATCTGCTGAGGAACGGTCCAAACTGTCAACTTTGTCATCTATGCTGCTATTTCTAGAGGATTTCTTTTTATTTTTCTTTGAAGGCCAGCCAGTTCTATTCTTTTTCTTAAATTTGCCTCTGGTTTTTACTGTATCCTGTCTAATTTCATTACTAATAAGATCACATTTTTCACATTCAGATACTAAACTAGAGAAGTCTGGAATTTCTTTTGATGTAATCACAGAGATGTCATTCTCCATTACATCTTCAGAGACATCATAATCAGATTCATCTTCAAAAACCTCAGATAAAAATTGTTGCAGTCTTTCTGAAGTTTCTTGTATTTCTGTAAGAACTGGTTCAGGTTTAGAGAGTGTTTCACTTAATGTATCTTCAGAAGCTGTAGATTTAGCATCATCTACATTTTTGCTGCGGTGTAACAAGCCAGCAGAGCCTAAAATCGCTAATGTTGAAGCATGTTCTCTAGGTGATTTGCGTGGATGGCTCTCCATAGCTAATATGGCTGCAGTTCGTTTTCTCATTCTTTGCTTCTTCATACCTCTAGTCCCATAAGCACGCGAAGGTCCGGGTTTTTCTTTTCCTTCTCTTTTCACCAAGTCACTCAAGGGACAGCAATTTGGTTTAAGTGGTGGTAACTGACCAATTTCATAGGGTAACTTTGGCGATTTTGAATAAAGTGCTGCAAAAAATTTAATAAAATGAATGTTCGTTTAAGAGTCAAACAAGATTTAAATGGAAATATAAGTTTTGTTACAGCCTAATTACAGTATAAAAGATAAATTAAGCAAACAACATATGTACTAACAAACATTTGATTTAAATGTATACATAATTTAATTTTCCTTTGTTATTAAGACAAAAGGCAAAAGGTTATAAAATAATGAAAACTGAATTTAAAGCCATCATCAATTTGAAGAATCAAATCTATTGAGTAGTCTAAAAACCTCTTTATACATCTGATAAAAATTGTAACAGAATGGAATAGTAGTCTTTACTTTAGTTATATGAAACTCATAATTACCAAAAAACTGCGGAACATTCTTAGCAACAACCTTGTCCTGATCTTGCCGCTTAAATGTACTAAACCAAGGCTCACTGTGGGGTACAGATTCAAATGCAAACTCAAGCTGTTCCACTGCTGGAGTATATTTTAATCTTCCATCTTCCCATTTCATACACCTCTCTACTGGTTCCTCTCGTAAAGGACTTACTTCTGGCTCAACAGGTGGCTCAGGTTGTGGAGGTGGTTCTGGTTCTAATGGAGTTTCTATTTTAATTGGTGGTGGATCTGGTTCTTGTGGTTCTGGTGGTTTACTAGGTGGCTGTCGCACATATTTCCGTCTCCCTCGTTTTACAACTGGAGGCCCACGTCGTTTTTTTCTATGATCCTCGGGCCACATCATATCTTCCTCTGAAGATTCTTCCTTTAATGCCACAGGTCTTGCTAATCTCTGCCTCTCAGGAGGTGGTTGTTGGGGTGAGGTCTTCTTTCTAGTCTTTGCTGGAACCACAGGTTCTTCATCTGATGAAGTGGAACTAGTTGAACTGGCTCTTTTAGGAAACATAAACTGTTCTGCTTCATCACTTAGTACTGACAGTTCAGACCGGCGTACTTTTCTGATTTTTACCACCAACGGCTTTGTTCCATTGCAGGGTGGTAATTCTCTTTTCTTTGTGAAACCTCCACTTGATCTTAACTTAGTGCTTACTCCAACAACTTTATAGTACTGACGATCTTCAGATTGTGTGGATTCACTGGCTTTCTTACTACATCTTGTACTACGTTTCTTTTCTTCTTCAATACCACCATTCCGTTTCGGGCTTACATTACCATTGACTGTCTCTGGTGATTGTGACCTTTTTGATCGTCTATTCTTTGGTTCTGCATCACCATTACATAATTTTCTCAGTGATCTTCTTTCACCATTTACTGGTGTTGCTTTGTCCAGAAAAGTATTGACATCTGTTCCTGATGTAATGAGTGAGTCTAAAGATAAGAAATTGGCATGATCCCTCACAAATGCCAAGTGATGTGGAGATCTTCTATGTAGGGTAGCATCAGCATAGTCCACATTACACATTTCACAATAGCCACCCTTTTCCTCTTTTATTTCTCTTTCTTTGATACGAGGTCTGCTTTTTCTTGTCATTCTGAAACATTTATATTTTAATTATAGATATTGAAAAAAAAAAACATATAATATGGTTCATAGTATTGATTAAATAAAATAAGTTAACAAATTGCTTAACTTACTTTGAACCAATATTGTTGTTGGTGGGAATTTCGACAATATTTTCAGGCAAATTTTTCTTTTCCTTTGCAGGATCTGGTTCTAGTGAGATTTGAGGCCACTCATCGAATTCCTTGTATACAGGTCTGTACAAACTGAAAAAACGAAATTATTTTAATTACATTATTACCAATTAAAAGTTTAAATATATAATAGCGGTCCATACTTGTCCAAAAATTCAATCTTGATAAAATGTTTACTGAAGTAGTTGATGTGTGCTTTACGTTGAGTGAAGAATGTATCATATAGTTTATCCAATAGATTTATAGCCTGAAAGATGATAAATATATTGTAAGGATATATAAGTATTATATAGCTATGGTGTCAACCCTTACCCATACACAAGTGAATCTATACCTAGCAAGATATAATGTTCTTCTGAGCAGAACACTTTCCTTTAGGAGATACTATCTTACAACAACTCTGGGTAAGCAATGATAACCACTATAAATAATAATAAGAACTTAGCTAGAAAAGAAGAGCATCATATATCACATGCAATATTAAGAGAATGTTTGTAAGATTTAATAGCATGCATATTTAGTAAGAAGTCTTTCTTGCCTTGTATAGAATATTATTAATAATAAGGACTACATGTACATTCTGTTCTTCAAAAAAAATATTGTCAATAAAAATCTTAGCAAGAATATGATTGAACAAACAATACATACAAAAGAACTTATTTTGAAGATAGTTTATAAGTCACAGTAGTAAATCCGTAAAGTAGTAGATCAGAAAAACAGACTATATACTTTCTCGGTGTATAATATTGGTTGCTGCAAAGCTAATACATTTGCATATTCACCTTCTGCACTGTTAGTTCTATGTAGTTATGGTTCACTGGTTTAGGTGGCGAATGTGCACGCAGTCTCTCAAGCATCGCATCGACGCGAGCACGGCCCTCACGCCGCGGCCATCTCGATGCGGCGGTGCTTGGTTTATGGTCCAATATTACATGTGTCACCCGAGGAGTCAGAAATACTTCCTGATGCTGTATTAAAAAAAGGAAAAGTTAGCTTATTTTTATATATCAGTAACAAATGTGCATATTGCAATCACACTGTACTGTGCTGTAGGAAGTTATCCCGCAACACACTTGCCTGCAAGTGCTTATGCAGTATGAGTGTCCATGAGCAGCAGTATCAGTTGACATCCAATAAGCCTCCTATGCAAAAGGCATAGGAGGTTTACTGGATATTCTGTTCTGTATCAAAATAAAAATACATTATGGGTACATTATATTTTTGTGAGCCTATAATAAATACTAATTGTGTTTATGTTGAAATTATAAATTATATCAGTATTACAAATTCACACATTGTATAATTACATGTATTAGCTACATGTGGTAGGTATTCTGAATAGGTAAAATCATCAGAATGCCAAATTGCTTAGTTGTATATTTTAAGTAGTTAGATAAAATTTAAGTAGGTTGCAATATGCAAAAATTTAAGCTGTTATAGCTGACGCCGGTTTATTAAAGGAGAGCATCAAAACAATAATGGAATTACGTGTCGTGGACTCGTGGCGCTTAAGTGACCGATTATTTCTAAGCCATACCAGTCCGCACGCAGGAGTTTTCCTTGAAATGCAAAGCGAATTTGACGCCAAAGCAAAGCTATGTGAAATGAGAATCGCGCCAAACGTCCCGCGCAAAAAATAACAAAATTTCTTTGCCACGCCAATATCATCCTTGTCATAACATTATAAGAACTAAATCGTCTTGAAGTGATAAAGTAATATCAACTGTCAAAAATTAAGTATACACACGCGTTAGCCAAAGAAAACTACATTTCAAACAGCTTTTAAATGAATATGTTGCAAAGTAGCTCGGCATGATCGGGCGCGACGCGCGGCCTCGGCCCGGTGCATTTCTACAACAGCCGCTTTAACGCGTCCATACAAAAGATGACCTAAAATCGAAAGCAATGTACGCGCGTAACTAGCCGCTAAAACACCTCTATTTACAAGTAATTTCTGACCAGATCTAATTGATATAAAATGTAAAATGGTATGTGCAGTTAATTAAGGCGGCGTATACTCATACAAAAGTCGCCCGCGAGGCCCCCGCGCTCCGCTTATCACAAAAATAAGTAACTATATACCAATCACTGAGACAGGACACTTCGTCACAGCTTGAATTACATAAATTCACAACACACAGATGAAACATTCACCACACTAAATGTTTTTAACATTCCTTGATGTATCAATTCAAGTTATAAATACTTTAAAGTTTTATTTATCTTCATTTTGGGAGTAGAAACGAAAAAGTAATAACAAACACAAATCTGTCATACAAGATGGAGATTATTTGCTATAGTTTTCATTTGTATCGCTTGAGGCGCTGCCGTACTGGTACGCTTTGGAAAGGGAAACGCATTCTATTGGCTTATATATAAATACGTTCTGTTTCACGAATAACACATTATTAAATGTACGACCGTTTCGTGAAAATAAACCTTTAAGTTAAATTTTTCCTTGGCAAAAATTTGTTACGGTGATATACATTACAAATAATTTTACATAAATAAATTAGCTTGTAGAAATATATAGTAGCAAACATTAAAAGCAACGAAATTATTTAGCAACATTTTGAAAAAGAAACGTTTTTAACGAAACCAACTTATATATTGCAGAGATCACTTGATATATAGAAACAAATAACGACGTACCTAATTATTCGCATAATATGTAGTTGTAAATCTCTACGTATAACCAAATTCAATAGATTCACAATATTTCGTTGGAAATTTTAAACAGAATTAAAAGTATATTATTATGGCGCGAAAAAAAACATTTTACTATTACTTACTAAACCCATATCCTGTAATCTGCGGGAGAGTGATCGACACATAGCGGATTCTTGTATATCCAGATAAAAACAGAAGTTATTTCTGACTGTAACAATAAGAAAACTTTTTAATCATGTTTTTCTAACGGATAATGTCACGATGAGACGACTTTACGCACTTTTGTTATACTTTTCTTGAAGCAGCGCCGTCGAAACCATCGTGTTATTGTATAATAATTTTGTCACTTAACGAATACGTTGACTACTACTAGGTTGCCAAATTTACGATATTCTCCACTTGTAAGACATACTTAAGTTTCCCTAAGATTGTATATTAAATTGAACAGAATATTAAGTGAGATTTAAATCACATTTATTTCAATTTGACCCTTGTTTCTACGACCCCTGAAAATTGATATCTCAGTTTGAAACGTCAGTGCCAGCTGTTGAGTTATAAATTCTGACAGATACTCAATGATCTACGACAGACAATCAATAAGAAAATCGATATCTATTTTTATAATATATAATTATAAATATTATTATACTTAATAACGCATTTTAATACTTTAATATATTTAGACAAACCTTAATTATATTCTCGTGCGTTATTTGAATTTAAAGAAGTTCAAACTGATTTTTTTTTATTGAAAGATTACAGGTTATAATTATAAAAAAACCAGAACAATGAATAAAATTAAGATTTCTAGCTTTTTAAAAAAGGCATGTTGTATGATATATTTAGGTTTTCTTGTCAGTTATAGTAAATAAGATTGAAACAAAAACTTTTAGCTATATAAATAACAGTTTATGAAACGTTATTGAAACCCGGTTCAACGAGATTATACATACGCGGACTATTGATTACTCGTTCAATGCTAGCCTATATACTAAAGGTAGGCTTGCGGACTGCTGACGCACAAAATGTACCTACATACCTAAATGATAACGTATGTATCGTTTATCCACTATTGAATTTAAATGACCTATATTCCCGAAGAATAAAATTTGGGTCAATCTATAAGCGTTTAAACAATCTATAACATTTTATAGACATAAATGGTTTGAGTTGCAAGATTTTACAATTTTTCAGTTTAGCTCAAGAACTTAATTTATTATATAATGAAAAAATTTGATACATTTTAAGTTGTTTTAGGTTTTTGTCGGTAGACGACTTCCTTATCCTTACGGAATTCAGACTGAAATTAAAGTACTCAAGTGATAAACAATAAAGCTTACTATTTATTGAATTGAAATTTGAAACTTCTTTAGGCGCATCAGGATAAATTAAATTTTTACGGAAACGTCACGAAGATGTGCAGCGTTTTTGTCGAAGAAAAGGGACAGAGCGATTGAGAGAGAGTGAAAAGGGCGAATTACCTGATAGAAATTCTATTTTTAACATTAAAATTTCGTAAAGAGAATTTAAATATGAAATACTAATAAGTATTTTATATTTTATGCAAAATAATTTACTGAAATCTCAAATGATAAATTGTAAATTAAAATGCCACGTGTTTTTATTATCGAAGAAATAAATAAATTTATAATTTGTATTAATTTTCGACACTTAACATTTTAATGACAATTAAATTCCTAACTTATCATCCTTTTTCCCTCCCTGTAAGTCTCGGAAATCTAAAGTTTTAGATTTGTATAAATATGAACAAGACTTAAAAATTAGTTTGCCAAAGAAGTTTCACTTCTGCCATGTGTACTTTGTACGCACGCATTTTTTTTAAATTGGTAGCATTATATATATCATAATGTTTGTATAATATTTGCTATATTTCCGATTTGTAAACTTACCGATTAATTCGCGGATATGAATCTTGAGAATTTAAGATATTGCAATTATAAAAAACTAAATATGTTTTTATTACCAGGATTCAAACGGTAAATAAAAATGAAAAGGGTTAATGCAAGATGATGCAAGGAAAAAATTAAAACATCTCATTCCTTAACATAAACTTATATTTAAATATTAAATAAACATTTACTATAAATTATTTTACAATTAACATATAGCCAGTTTGTAAAAACCCCTTATTAAAATAATATAAACAAAATGGTTACAGAAGTATAGACAAGTGAGATTTTTATAAAAATATACAATGGTGGAGTCACTATGTACAAAGAAATCAAACTTTTAAAATCTGAAATCCAAACAATTACGAAATCTTTGGAATTGCACAAAAAAATATCTAATTAGTATTTCATACCAAGTTTTATTACAAAGTAATCTCAATATATTCTAAAAATTAAACAGGTCAACCTAAAACCAAATGGAAAGTTATTTGTATACCCGAGTTCTTCATTAAACTCACAGATGGCGTTGTTGCTATATAGAATACAACTAAATTTTTTCCTACTTTTGCTACAGTGACTCCGCGCTATAATTAATTACAATGAACAATATGAAATTAAATTTCATGTTTTATTTTTATCACGGCATCGTATTTTACATGACTTAAAAATACACTCACTTAACATCAGTCTCATTCTTCATTCTATGAATGACCTGAATACCAGAGACAATACAATTTTAATATTGAAATAAAGGTTTTAATATATAAAAACATTGTACAATAGCTTGGTTATAATTAAAAAGAAATTGCAGTAACAAACAGTTGAGACAACTTATATAAAATGATTGTGACATAAAACACAATATCACATAGAAGATTATATATTTAATATCATGGCAATACCATATAATCAATATCGGCTTTAATAAAATCAAAAGTATTATCTATGGTGGATGTCATATCTAAGTTCTTACACGCCATACGGTCCGTTCCAAAAATACAATTGTTAGTCAAGGGCTAAAAACAATTTGTCTTTTAGCGCAAATTTAAAGCTCTTAATAAGGTTTATTCTGAACATACCAAGGATTGTTTGCAAAATGAGAACAAAATGTCTTAACCACCTTCTGGAATGAGTACCCTAAGTGCTGGAAATGTTAAACTTGCTCAAAGAAACTTTTTTTATGAAACATATTTAAAATAAATAACAATTTTTAAATTTTATCCGGATCAACTCATCAAATTTTTTAAACTTGCTACCTACATTAGTTACAGTACTTTATTCTGAAGTTCTTTAACAAAAACATTGGTTCCTGTATATTGGGTTTTTACCTAAAATGTTTTTTGTTTATTTACCTACCTAAGTGGGAGATTCAGAAACGAGATTTAGCAAGAACGCGCCCTTATGTCAAAATCCAATACATTTTTGACAGGTGTCAGACGTGGCGGTAAGTCTCGTTTCTGCAACTTACCCATTGATTAGCTAAATCAAAGTACAATTTCCTAAATGAATTTGTATTTTACATAATTAAATAGTCCACAGCGAAAATTGCATATGACCTTGACAAGATAGGTATCATGTTTTTCAAATTAGCACGCCATCTAGTGTTGGTCCTTTTTGTTATCTCCATTTGCTTCACCGTTGAGTACAGGTGGAACTGGCGACTTAATGGGCGGAGCAGGTATCACCTGTAAAATAAAAAGTAGTTTTGTCTCTCTCAATCATGGGCGTATAAAGAGGGGGACCGGGATGGCCGAACCCATCATAGAATGGTCTATTTTTTAGATATTTTAAACTAGAGACCTAGGAAGTTTCAAAATAATCCTGGATATTCTATTTTATACATAGGAAAAACATATATATATATATACCGTGGAATCTCGATAACCCGAACCTCGTTAAGTCGTAATCCTCAGTAAATCGAAAAAAATTGCCATATATATCTCGAATTATTTGATTTTGTAATTCGAACAAAATGTTATTTCTCTACGATATTGATAATACATATTTATAGTCTATAACTCGAATTTCAAAAAGGACTGTAAGTCGTAGTTAGTAAAATATAATGACGAATGGAATTCCCCGAAATAATAGCTATAAAATCCAAAATGAATGTTCGGGTTTTGGGCTTCTAATATATTGTTTTTGTCTGGTACACGTGCAATTAATGAATACACTCATAAAAAATGTATACTACAAAACTTAAGTTGAATTGTTATTCAAATTCAACTCTACAAATCGAAAAATACACTTAGAAATCGTGCCTCGTAAGTCGAAATTTCAGCAGTTAAATCTCGAAGTTAGATAAGTCGAAAACTCGTTAACTCGAATTTTTGTGCCGTTCCCTTGACATTCGAGTTATCGAGATTCCACTGTTTATGCAAACTAGTCAAGAGCGGACTGAGAAATGCGGTATTTGTAAAAGTTCTATAGAACAATGGAGCAGTGTTGGCCTAGTGGCTTCAGCGTGCGACTCTCATCCCTGAGGTCGTAGGTTCGATCCCCGGCTGTGCACCAATGGAATTTCTTTCTATGTGCGCATTTAACATTCGCTCGAACGGGGACGGAAAACATCGTGAGGAAACCGGCTTGCCTTAGATGCAAAAAGTCAACTGCGTGTGTCAGGCACAGGAGGCTGATCACCTGCTTGCCTATTAGATTAACAAATGATCATGAAACAGATACAGAAATCTGAGGCCCAGACCTAAAAAGGTTGTACCGCCACAGATTTTTTTATTCTATAGGTCAATGAGGACAGAACATTCACTTAGCATGTTTGTGAATAAGCTAAAATGGTCATACTTGACGTTTATGATTAGTTAAACAAATTTTTCCGCTCAGTCCACTCTTTAATGTGCTAATAGACTTTGGAACTAAAACCATTCAATGACAACATAAACCCAACCCAATATGCAAAACTAAATATAAAAAAACCTGACCAAAACCACAAGCAATTTCTGTGCAATCCCAGTCAAGCTCAATTTAAAACCAAACCGCTCCCATATAATTTTTTTGAAAAACTTAACTTTTGACCGGCCCCGCTTCATCTATACCTATAACCGCTATGCTATTGCTACGTTTCAGTAAATGTTACCTTAAATTTAACGCCCCGAGAATATGTAGAAACAAAATATTTTTTGAAGTTCTTTAGGCGCGTTATGAAAAATTTATGAGAGTGAAATTTTACGATGCGCGCGCACCGTGACACAAAATTAACAGAATGAAGTTGCCCACGTAAGATGCTACGGCATTGGTGATTGGACATAATTTAAAAACAACATTCGAATAATAATAGAATTTATGTTACACTTAATGTAAAAGAATAATAATAAATATTTATTTATTTAATTTTTCAAATGTAAACTGAACTTTATTGACTATAATGAATCCTCCTTTTGAATTAATTATTTGCATGCAATCGAAAACTATTTTTAATAATGCCAAAGAAACAAAATATTTTTTGAAGTATAACTTCTTACGCGCGTACATAAGTACACGCACCCTTTTTTTTATTAAATTATACATTATCATTAATGCGCAGCAATCGATATATACTAGGGGTTAGAAAACGACGGCGTCGTTACGCGTGTAATTTTTTTTAAGGTCATCCCTTCCACTTTTTCTGGGTTTTGGGGTCGTTTTATAAAAAAATCAGTCAAACATTGCAACATAATATTAATATATGATAAAATTAAGAAATTGTCTCAATAAAATAATAATCTTGGATTGAAGCTATTGATACATGCAACCAAATCAAAATATATACCAAATTCGATTAGTTGTAGTTATATACAGGAAGATTATACATCAGTATATAAATCAAAGATAGAAAAACGTAAGTCAACTTTTTCTTTTAGGATTAATATGGGAATTATAATTAACTTTCGTATTTTTATGGATTATCTTAGAGAATTAAATTTAGGTAACATTCACAAATTCCGTACTTTTCCATTGCCGGCCGTATCTTCTTTTTCCTGTTAGACATTAAACTATTTATTTAGGGTAAAATATGAATACAAAAAAAACTGCCAGTCGCTTTCAAAAATATTTCTAATTCTAGATATTTTATAGCTTGTCATAGATTAATGTAAATTTTATTATAAATTATTTTTTAAATGTAATAAAATCTAGACAGATGCAATTTCTTTTTACTGACGGCTCATTGGTCTAGTGGTACTAACCCCTGACTGCGAATCCATGGGTCCCGGGTTCGATCCCCGGCTGAGACAGACATGTGTTGTGCTTAGGTCTTGGGTGTTTAAATATGTATTTATATGTCAATCTATCTATAATATGTATGTATATCCGTTGCCTAGTACCCATAACACAAGCTTCACCAGCTTAGCATGGGACTAGGTCAATTGGTGTGAATTGTCCAATCAAAAAAAAATTACATAATTATCTATCATTTGGCTAATACTAGAATTTTTAAAGACTTTAAAACATACAGATGGTTTCGGCCGATGTGTGTCTACGGCATCGACGGACAATTTAATATGTTCTTCCCGACAGCCGTACGCAACCGGAGTCAGTTTTATCACTGTGTGCAATGGCACATGAAGATATGGGAGCTCATCTGAAAATATGTAAATTAATTAATATTATATAATTAAACATTTAAAAGAAAAATATTTAAGTTATGCTGCCCAACCACTTAAAGAAACTTATTTTCTGAAATTAAGAAATGCATATGATGTGTACCCACAAAAAAATCTATAAATATATTATTCCAACTAAATTCCGTTAATAGCGAACAATTTCGTCTAATTCAGTCAATTGTCTTGCTAAACAAATTCTCTCACCAGCAGACTTATCCAGGAAGTAGGCCAGGAGGCACCTCATGACGGCCTGGTGGGACACCACCAGTACATTCCCTTGTCTCTCCAGCTCCATGATGACCGGCTCCAGTCGTGCCACCAGGTCTTCGTAGCTCTCCCCTCGAGGGTACCGGTAGGCGAACTTGTTCGCATCCCGGGAATTAAAATCTGACGGGTACTTCTGTTGTATTTCTGCGTAGGTCATTTCTTCGCATATCCCCTGGTAAACAATATATAACACATATTATCAAGAGCGCAATCTTGTATTAATCGACTTTAAAAACAGGATGTTATGTTATGAAAATTTTCATGAAAATCGGTTCAGTAGTTTTCGAGATAGTATTTCCATCGCCACACATTTATTTAAACCTAGAGAAAAGAACGTTAAACTGCTTTTAAACAATTATTTATATGGGATTGATAATTACCGCATCAATCTCATTAAGGGCCTTCCACCTTTCCTGTGGTGCTCGGACATCCTTCACCGTTTGTATGGCTCTCTTCATCCAGGATGTCCAAACGCGTAGACCGGGGATATTTTGCTGGTCTATATAAGTGGCTAGTGCACTGGCGTATTGTTTTCCTCGGGTTGACAACTCGCTGTCACCGCCTATACGTCCCACTAAGTTGTGGAGACTTTCACCGTGCTGGAATGATACAATAATAATATGTAATCATTATGTCTATAAAAATATTTTTTTTTCTGACAAGTACATGAACTACTAAACAGAGTTTATTGGCTGTAACTATTTTAAGTAATGGTGAAGAAATACTTAACTAAAAAAATTTAACCATTAATAAAGGTCATAGTAATTGTGTCCACATAACAGTATTTTATTTTACATTGAACAAATACAGGAAGAGTGCATAATTTGAAACAAGAATAAACTTAAATTTAGTTTCAAGAGTTGTCAAAGCATTTTTTAATGAAGTGTGACATATTTGACCGTCAAGTCACATCCTAATGTTAATTTAGTCTGTCATAGACATAAACAATAATAATAAAATAATATATCTTACCCTTGTTAAATAAATTGTTCGTGGTACTATATGTATATTCATCAAGTAATATACAATCCGACTCTGTATATGTCCTTCATGTTTATGTACAACCACTTTTTCTCCTGTGTCATATATTTTCATGAAGCTGCATTCCGATTCAAGGCTTTCGTCCAACGGCTCATACTTTTCCTTATAATGCTCTATCCTTAGTAAAAAGTCATCTAGAACATTGTCAGTGTCTTGTAAGTTTGTGTAGTCCGGACTGCTTACTTTTACTTCCTGCAATTGTTTTTAATATACTTTTATTTTAACATTTTCTATATGTATTTTTAAAAAATTCTTTTGATAACGGCTAAACATGTTTATACATATGTATTTAGTTGCATGAGGGAGATACACTCGGTCTGTCAACAGATTATTTTTTTAGGGCAAGTGGGTAATAATTAATAATTAAATCACCTGGTTCAAAACTAAACCCCCGAATTTTACACCGTATATTTATCACTGTTGATATGTTATAATTGTAATTTTTATTTGCAGCATAAACCACAAGAGTTAATTTGTAGATAACAAATTTCTGGTAGTACATATTTCTATGTTCAGGAGAACAATTAATATTTACCATAATATTTTGTTCTATAATGCGTGGATCATCACAAATGGATTCTACAAAGAATAGTTTGAAGCCCATTTTGTGAACAACGATTTCTCGGATCATTCGCCGTCGCTCCATTGTTGAGTTTGTGGCATCAAACACCTGTAATTATACAATATAATGATAACTGTATGTATTCAAAGGAAAAATTTTGAATGTGCAAAGTTTTGTTGTCTGATGCATTAATTTAATTATATGTAAGAATATACTTCACAAGATTAATTAATATAACAAAGTATCTCTATAAAATACTTACAGCAACCTCTCCACCTTTAACCAGCCACTCACAGACATCATGCAATGCATCCAGCGCACATTGCTGCCGTATAGCCATGGCCTCTTTATTATCAGCTCTGAAAAACTCATGACTTGTGTATGCAGTTGTAGCATGTCGTCTGTACTCTCCAAGATTGAATACTGAAAAACAAAATCGTTACTGATATCTTATTGCTATCTATGTCCCGATAGGATATTTGAAGATAGAATTCATGTTTTAATAGAATAAAAAAGTTTTATCAGACAGTTTTATTTATTTATTAGTTCTCAAATGTAAAACATCTTCACCATTTAGATAGAATAACTTACCCCTAGTATTAATTCCTATCCAATTAAGATATCTTGACAGCTTCTTAGATATGTATGTCTTGCCCCGAGCTGGCAGACCAACCATTGCAATAACATGCGGAATGTTTACATAGTTTGCTCGTTCTCCTAAAGAAATTCAAACAAATGGCTTAACAGCTTAATTTTTAATTATCTTATTAATATGTTATACAAAATTCATTAGTTTTCCACTAAGGGTAAAAGGTAGACTAGTTTATACTTTAAACGCAAATGCTTTATGTGGTTAAAAAAAATTGACATTTTATTTATAATTACTTGAATATATTATATAACATTAAAATTAAAACTTATCTACTGATTTGTATAATTGGTTAAACTGAGAGAACTAATGATAAAAACAAAAAAATTAACTTAAAAATATATTTTACATTTATATCATATATTTTAATTAGTTAATTAAATTGGAAAATATTAAAACCATAACATACTCCTTGAACAAATAATTTAAATAATAAATTCAAATCATTCAAATTATAATCATAAAATAAATCACTGTTTACTGTTTCATGATTGTAACATGTATAACACAGTTTACAAAGTTTATTCTCATCATATATCTGTAAAGGTCATATAATATATCTAAAAATAAAGACTTAATAGACAAAATCAAATGTGCTGACCATTGCAAATACTTAGTTAAAGGCAATTTTGTAACAAACAGGGTATAACTTATAACAACTAAGTGATAGATGATTAATTTATATTTGCGACAAGGTTTATCTCACATGTAATTAACGATAACGTAGAACAAGCTTATATTGAGATATAGGAAACGTTATGAAGCGATAGCGACCTTATTGACCTTAACTTTAATAAACAGTAACATAATTTATAAACCTTTGAACAGGATTTAATGTACAGGCATCCTCAAAGGTGTATTGTGAAAATGTATTTAAATGTTACGATGATTCTTTGACGCTAGCCCGTTCCGGTTCTAGCATTAATTTGTTTTAATTTTTAACACCTTTCTCCATTAAAAATTACTTTGTTACTAACCATCACCAAAGAATTGTTTGTTTAGATATTTCCAGCCTTCAACGCGTTTTTCGTCTAGATCCATGGTTATCGCTCCGCTATTTTATATGATAGAATAATGTTATTAAGTCCAATTTTGTTTATTAATCACAATCTAACCCAATCACTGGTTCACGATCTGTTATCTACTATAACATGACTATAAGCATGAACGGTGAACCATCTAGCAATTAGCATAATTGACGATAGCAACCAGCGGAATGACAGTCTGAGCGTACTGTCACTGTCAAGCTGTCACCTAGGTATGAATATGAAATCCATAGATTACACGCCGCCTGTTAAAATCCCGAATCATACATTATTAATTATATTTATATTATTTACTTTATTAAATATTCATAAATATTTTACATAATCAGCATTGCTTCTAAGATGCTAGTACTACCGTTACGGCAACAATATCAAAGTCCAATTACTATATATATATGAATACAAATTAACGTTTGTTGGTAAATTATTTAATTTACGTCAAGACGCATTATCACGTAAACATTCCAACAAATTTAGATAACAAGTAATGACTGAAAATTATCTACATCATACATCCATGTACATTACATAATTAATTCTACTATCAAATTTTACCGTGGCTCAGTAGTCAGGCGCTTGGGGTAAATTTCAGAGTCGAGACTGCGCAAAATGTGACTTCCGTCAGCCCAAAGCGTAAGGGTTTTGGCGTACGGGAATATAACTCTTTACTCTGAAGCTTGATCTCTTTAGACCCGGATATCCCGGTTTCGTGTCCCGACGAAATACACAGGCATGATAACCCATTTAGCCATTGCTCCACTGAGAAACATACTTCAGTATATAGCAACAAATATTTAATTAATGTATCGATTTATTTATTCCAGAATGTCGTAAACTGAGTTACGTCAGATCTACGACTGTAAAATATTTATCATTTACGAAATGTCAGCATAACATAATTCGCATTTTAATACCCTTTTATTATATTGTTGAGATACAATATTTATTTTTGATAAATTTGGAAAAGCTCTACATATAAGTCGATACAGATTATCTATAATTATGCCCTATTTTGTATCTTTTCTACAAAAATATACAGTTTTAAAATAAACTTCAATAATGGATTACGCTAATCCGTTATGATGAATAGAGATTTTATTTTTATGTAACAGGAGGCAAACGGACAGGAGGCTCATCTGATGTTATGTGATACCGCCGCCCATGGACACTCAGCTTGCCAGAGGGTCGCCAAGTGTGTATTTAAGAATTGGTACGCTTTTTCTTGAAGGACCCTAAGTCGAATTGCTTCGGAAATACTTCAGTGGGCAGCTGGTTGCACATAGTGGTGGTTCGCGGAAAAATCTGCCTTAAGAAATTCTCAGTTGTCGAACTACGGACGTCGAAGTGATCCGGATGGTATTTTGTATTCTGCCTTGACGTCTGATGATGAAACTCAGCTGCATGTATTAGTCTGAACACTCCCCAAGGTAAATGCGGTAGAAGATGCAGAGAGACCCCACATCTCTACACAGCCCCAAGGCGCTCGGAAAGTGACTGGCCGTCGGCGAAGTCGAGATGATATTAATTTTGTAAACCGCTTAACAAAAAATAAATTTCTCAACGTTACATATAATATTTAAGTTTATTTATGCTATTAACTTATTAACAATGAGTAATAAAACATAATAATAATTAGAAATCCACTATAAACTATTCTTCAACGATAATAGTAGTATTGTTTTAAATGCGAAAATCTCAAATAGTTATATTATTATATACAAGTTCAAATTGTTAACGTAATTTACATTTTTTTGTATAAAAGCGTTTCACTTAATAACTAATTGATTGAAGGTTTATCATATATATATTTCTGACTATATGAATATGAATAAAGCCAACAATTGGCAAAAAGTGGCGCTGGAAGTTTCTCGATCGGAGTCCAAGACACATTTGGATAGCTGCGTGTAAGTGAGATATACCTAAGTCATAATGCTAAATATTGATTTCCAACACACACATATACGAGTACAGTATTCACAATATTCCTAAACTACATACTGCAGGGACCAAACGTTTTAACATTGTTTTAATTTTTTATTTATCAATTTCTAAATATTATTATCACTGATAGTCCTACATTAAATCTATCTAGTGACATGTACATATTCAAAAATGACAAATGTTTTCGATGCCTCGGTATTGTTAACCATAATTCCTTAATTACAAAAAAAGTGGAAAATGAACAATTATATACTGCTCAAAACAATTAGCGGAACAAGATTTTTCTCCTTTCTATTGCTTAAACTAAAATTAGAATTAAATTAACTTGTACGCTATTTTTTACCTTGGTAATTTGTTAATTACTACAATTAATAAAAAAATTCAATTTGTATTGTTTTTTTAAAATAAAAATTAAAATTTTTAATGTTGCGAAAAACAAAGTGACGTCTTTGAATTTTCATTACTTTCTAATCACAGAAAACATTTTAAGTAGTTTTTTTCAATCTTTTGAGTATTAATAGAAATTTTAGTTTGCCTTTTGATTACTGTTATTCATTGAAGCGAGTGAGGTTAGGTCATAATGCCAGATCGACTGATTTGGATGTCACAACTGAGCTATCGCTTTGCTAAGGGGACGAACTATGGGTTGATGTAGGAAATTATTCTATGAGTAGCCCCTTATGTTATCTACAGACTTTGGAAGCGATCACCGTGAGACGGGAGAATACTCACGATGGCTGGTCAAGGTCGAGAAAAGAAAAATACGTGTTTGCAAGATCGCTACATCGTCAACTGTGCTTTACGTAACCGCACCACAATTGCAAGAGATCTAGCAAAATACACTAAGGACGGCTACTGGTGTAGAAATTTCCGACCAGACGGTAAGAATTAGGTTGTTGGAAGCCAATTTGAGATCACGCCGACCGGTTCGGGCTGTGTATTTAAGAAGCCTTCAACATAGACAAGTGCCGAAAGTTCGCGCAATATACGCTAATTTGGCAACTTCGAAAATGGAGGCCAGTTCGTTTTACTGACGAATACGATTCCGTCTTACACGTTTCGATGGTCATCTCCGTGTTTACAGACGTGCCCCAGGCGAGCGATACAGTGCAGAAGCAGTCCAGGAATGAATGACAAAATTGGAACTGTGGCTTTATTATGGTTTGGAAACGGCGGAGTTAAAGTATTGGACGAGCGTACAGATCTCAAGTCGTTGTTCCCGGGGCTTGTTTGATAGAATACTCTACATTGAAAATCTCGAAGATCACGTTTGGCCCCACATATGGTTTGGGCCCAGTTTTCTTTACGGTAATGCAAGAGAATGCAAAAACGCATACTGATAGCCATCAAGTCAATTACTTACGACAGCAGGAAATCACGTCTAATGGATGTGGCTTCACTCTCATGGCGCCTGACCGAAATCCAATTGAACACATTTGGGACTTGCTTGTACAGGCGCATCCGGAAGCGTCCGATTGCACCTACAAACATGCAAGCTGTACTTAAGCGTTGTTGAAGTTTTATTTTGAGCATGAATGTCCACAAGAAGTATTCGGAGGGTCATACGAACTTGCCGTAAGTCATAATGTCAATTGCCGTGATTAGGGATTTGGAGCCCACACACGTTACTGAAAGTACACTAAAGACGAATATTCTTAAACGATATAAGATATTTCTGCATGGACCTTACTTTTATCACTAATTAGTTTTTCGTCTACAATGCACATTTTAATTTTTAAATTTATAAAAAAAATTATAAATTGATAGTTTTATATTTAATCTGTCAGTACATTTACAAATTAACAAGGTAAAAAATTGCGTATGCCAAGGTAATTTAAATCTAATTTTAGTCCTTAAGCAAAAAAAAGGGAAAAATCTGTTCCGCGTTACAATTATATAAGCATTTGTAGACGTCTGTAGTTTGGAAGTAATCTTTGTATTTTTTTTATATAATAGAGGAGCAAACGAGCCTACGGGACGCCTAAAAAGGGCAGTCATCGCAGCCCATAGACACCCATTTTTAGTGGATGCGTCGCCGGCCTTTAACCGTGTCTGTGTTGACGGTAACCAATATATAGCCTGTACTGACTTTAGAATGAAGGTATAGATAACCAACCTTCGTGATCTTTACTTCATGATATTCAATGACATTCAATCAATAACAATTAATTGATTGAAATAAGAAAATATTGCGACGCTCAAACGTTGATACGATAACGATATTTTAAAATATTCCATGATCCAGAACATTGAAGATTATGCAGCCATTTTATTTTTCTATATCAAACGAAAGTTGGTTGTTTCAAATGTGAATATTATGTTGGACGAGCCGATCTTTGAATAACTATCTTGTTTAATGACAATTGATTAAATTTTAAATTTGACTGATGCCCCATGCCCCATTTGAAGGTTATTCTTTAGCGGCAAAACTGGTTCATATTGGTACGGTTATGTATATTTAATGACGTACTTTACATGCGCAGTTTGAAAGAGTGATCAATTATTTTTTAAAGCATTATCATTACTCTGAAGCTGAGGCACGCGTTCAGTGCATGACCGTGACTCATGATGCGCGCCGGCCGGCACATAAATTATTATTATTATAACCGGTTTCTGATGTAGCTACAAAAGCCTAATTCATTAGTTTAGTCTAGGCTGTAAATATGGAGTATAGCTAATAAGTACAATATTTTGGCGAAATTGTAAGTATTCGTCGGACAATGATGCGATAATCTGTAATTTATTTAGATTTAAAGACGTGACATTGCTATCTTATCTGTAATTTTAGATATTTTTATTTACAATGCAAACTTCCTGAATACTTTTTCTATTTGGGTTACTATGAGGGGACAAAACGATTCTTTAATATAATCTTTAAATTATCGTTGCTATGTTAATAAGGGGACTGTAAAAAGGAAATTCGACTAAGAACACAAATGACCAAAGACGATGTGAACTATTGCGAATATGCAAAGATCGCAAGATTTCGGTACGAATTTAAAAAAAAGTGCATACAAAGTACACATGTCAGAAGTCAAACTTCTTTGTAAATTC